CAGTTCAGCTTTGATTCCATCATCTCATTAAACCTTTTTAAAAGCATAATTTAGTTCTGTGACGGGATATAAGGGATATATGCACTGTGCTTCACTTGAATTAATAATTTATGCTGAAAAGAGTATATTTTACTGCACGATTTTTTGTTGAATAGATTTGAGTGGTTCAACATTTCAGGTCGCGATCTATTGACTAAGGAAAAAGTGGGTCTCGAGGCCTGACCAGTTGAGAACCACTGGTTTAGATCACATGAAAACAAATCAAAAACAAAGATTCTCTGCACAATGTATTTTTTTTTTTTTTCGACGTATGAAGATCTTAACCCACTTCACTCAAAGAAGAATTATATGAAATTACATTTAGTTTAACATTTCTGTTTTTTATATTGCTGTTCTGTTAGAGACATCAACAAACCCATCATTTTACATTCCAGCTCACTGTATTGATGAATCTTTTGTTGCTCTTCTCACACACAGGTAACCACCAAAAGGGCTCAGGCTTGGTGTCAGAGTAAGAACAACATCCCCTACTTTGAGACCAGCGCCAAAGAAGCCATAAATGTAGAACAGGCATTCCAGACAATTGCACGTAACGCCCTCAAACAAGTGAGTTCAAATGAAACACAAAAGACAGTAGAGATGTGTGCTTTGTACTTTTCAGAAATCATAGCTAAATCATTTAAAACCAAGTCTTTATTTGTTTGTCAGCTTGTTTTTCTCCTGTACTGATTCTTCCTCTCTTGCCGCCCTTCAGGAGACAGAGGTGGAGTTGTATAATGAATTCCCAGAGCCCATCAAACTGGACAGGAATGACAGAGCTAAAGCTTCAGCAGAAAGCTGCAGCTGCTAAGGGACAGCTTGGACCATCTCCTCTCTTGGCTTTCTGAAACCCCCCCCGTCACCGGTCACATCACACCCCCCCCCCCCCCCAAGGGAAAGGGACTTCCCCTACTGGTCTTCCTCCGTCACGCAACTGTTCATTCCATCAACACCACCCCTCACGCAGTACGCTGCACATGGATGTACCCCCCACCCTCCCTTAGCACACAAATCACACTAGCGCCAATAGCTGACAAATCCAGTACCCTTAGATCACACAAGAGAATGACAACCTCAGTGACGTCCTGTCCCACCCACTTAATTCTAACTGGCCCCCGACTCTCACACGGAGATGGAGCCACGTTCAAAGAGTGCAATTGGGAACTCTAGCTGGACTGGCCGAAGCTCCGTCATGTGAGACGATGTTGGCTAACGTCAGCATCCCAAGTATCCTATTCTCTTCCTGTTTCCTCTTTGCTTTCTATTGCCTGTCTCTCAAAAACAAATCAAGTTGAACTACATATTATATATTTTAATTGGCTGATGTTACTTCTCAAGCCAATCCGAAACACAAACTTGTTTTTTTTTGCACTTTCTATTTACGTTTTTGCCTTTAAATATTATAGAGGGATGACTGATTTTGGGCAACGTCTGTCACCACACGCCTTTTGGTGAGCTTCAAATTATACCTCCTCACTCGTTATCACTGTCCAATATAGCCCCTGAGAATCTGTCGAACACTTTGTGATTGTACTGCCTTTCCCCTTCGTGCTTGTGTGTCATTGGGTTCATAACTGCGTCACACAGCAGAAGAAATGTTCTAGACATAAAGTAAAAGCTGAAAACGCAGTCACATTGTAAAACATGGAGTAATTCCTCAATATATTCATATTTGCATTTTATGTAACATTACTTGTACTGCTACTATTACTGCTGTATGTGTCATGTCCTTCATCAGACATCTTTCAACGCTTTGGAATTACAATCGTGTCACCAACACAGCATACACCTTTCTTCTGTCATGTCTTTGTTATTGCTGTTCTCTCTATTTGCTTGTAGCTCAGGTTGGCTTAGTACTTAATATTTTTAACGGATTGTGCATTACAGTCATACAGTGTATAGATGGTAAAGGTGAATGCCTGATGGATTGAACTGAAATGGATGTTCTCTCTTTCCATTTTAAGAAAAGATCCAACATTTTGCCCTGGTATTATTCCTTCTCCTTATAGAAAATAAATCTCTGCGATGCCAATGATGTTGTCAAAGAAAATTGGGACGTCAAATAATAAAACTCTTGAATATATCAATGGTCTAGCAATATGTGTCTCTGTAATTTCTTGCGGTGTTTCATGCATCCTTTTTTACTGTTTGATTTATTTTTCTTGTATTACTTAAAACATAAGATGTGTGTGATTATTTAGTGCTGCTTGATTGACAGCTCCCTATCTTTCCTGTCAGTGTTGCTGTACATGTACTCCTTGTTAAGAATGTTCGATTTACTACATGATACTCAGTCAATTGTTTATTTTATAGTCAGTAGTACATTCTAATTTATCACAGGCAGGTTGGTTTAATGTCAAAAGGAAGTAAATCGGGCAGAAGTATTGCAGAGTTGTGTCGGTCTGCAGGGCCATGAAGAACACAGCCATGAACACAATCTGTTGCGCCATTGTAAGAAAAGCACAAGTTACAAATAGCATAAACAGTTAAATCGTAACAGCACAGTAACATTTATTTGTATTATTTGAAACCGTGCCGTTCCTACAGTGCAACACTTGTGTTCAAAGGCCTACAAACCTTTTCTGCAGCAGACCCTTTGAATTGTCATGGCAGGGAAAGCATTTGTAACATTCTAGCTGCTGAGCAGCTGTGAGTCAGGGCCAGTCATTCAATCATCCAAACGAGAATTTGAAAAGTCTTGATATTATTAACGGCTTCCATATCATGTGACCAAACAATTCCAAATCAATTATGAAATATATTACTACACTGGACATGTAAGGACTTGATTTGACTGCTTTTTCAAATTGATTTAATGAATATTCTTCAAAGAAAAGTCATTTATTTTAATTAGCTTCCATGTCATGTGACCCAATGACTTCCGATTCATACCAGATATTATAACTACACTGGACAAATAAAGTAAACCTAATTTCATTGCGTTGTGTGTCTTCTATTTTATATGAATGTTATTCATTTTTAAAAGTAGTTCTATCATGACCCGGTGAGTTTTTACTGGATTTCAGGGATTATTGCATATTTGGCATTATTGTAATTTAAATTCTGGCACACTACCAAACCCTGATACATTAAAGACAATCCTGGACCCCATTGCAATATTATTTAACTGAACAAAATGTTAACATTGACAAGTGCGGTCATGTTTTGTCTCTAATGATCTTGTTATTTGTGTTGAAGAAAAAGGGAATCAACTGCCTTTATTTTTTAATAAAGTATAACGGAAAACGTATTTTTGTTAGCTGAGTTCCGCTGTTGTGTTCACGGAAAACCTGTCAAGTGTAGCTACTTCCGCCTTTAGCAGCCGCTCATCACACAGAGAAATATGGTAAGATAAATTTGACATTTGTGCTGATAAACCGACACAGTTAATCAGTTACATGTATCCAACCTTGCCGATGTTAAGTCGTTAACTCTCCTCGACTAACACGGCATTAATTTAGGGATAACAGCTCGTTTTTTCTCTATTACTATTCAGAATAGCTGCAGGCAGTTAGCTAACATGCTAACATTAGCTGAAAAGGAAACATCCTTGATAATGTAATGGCCTCTTCGTACCTGTGAGCACAGAGTGTGAATGAGTGTTTATGTTATAATGAACCGTCAGGTCGCAGCTCCATAGTAATACTTTGTTGCTAAGTAACGTTCAATGGTGGACACATAATGGTGACCCACCTGAACTGATAAACACGGTGATGTTGGTTTGTCCCTCAGCTTTAAATGAACATTTTATTGATAAATTATCATTTGGTACATTTATACCAGTGGTTCTTACTATTCTGAACACGAACACCCAGTGGTTTGAGCCTAAGTTACATTTCCTCAAGTTACGTAGGCCTACTCTACCGGAGGCCTACAGATGTAAGGATACTGGTAGTTGTACTAAGAGATAAGATAAGATAGTACTTTATCCACTACTTACACTGCGGGGAAGTTTTATGTTTGATTTTTGATATTCATAATGGTCAGAGGAAAGCTAGCTCTCAGAGACAATCGATAATGTACTTTTTTTAACGACAGAAACACAATATTATAAATATACTTGTGCTGTCTTGCTCGTATTATTGAACATTATGCAACACAAATCAATGCAGAATGTTATTGCTACATTGGATGTGTGGGAAAAACATCTTTTTTATTGTTTGATTTTATTGCTTCTCATATTTTAATGAAAAATGAATTAGTTTCTATTGGAACTTTTTTTTCCATAATAAAATGTTCTTAAAATAAAGGTGTACTGATACAATACTACATTGATTTTGGAGTCATTAAACTTTTGAAGGTAAATCATATTTTTCAATAAAGAAACTGCTGATTTGTTTCATTATGATAATTGGATACAATAGGAGAAGCACAACATCTTAAAAAAGGGATATGTGCTTTTGATGAATTGCTGGTTGTGTCATGTGAAGGCAGTCTTTGTGTATATCACTGTAGAAGTTATTATGTGCAGTGAAACCAGTGAATAGTGTGCTTTTAAGAGGTCTTGAGTCTTAGTTCTACCTGCCTTTCGATTCATACGTTCTCCTTAGGATTATTTCTCATCTACTTTTTTCTGTCTTCTCTCTCTCAGACGGCCACATTGCGCCCATATCTCAATGCAGTTCGTGCTACCCTGCAAGCGGCCGTCTGCCTGGAGAATTTCTCCTCGCAGGTGGTGGAGAGGCACAACAAACCAGAGGTGGAAGTACGGTGAGTTGTCACCTCAACTTTGAAATTGACTTTGGAGCATATACCACCCAGCAGTGCATGCATTCTGGGTTTCCCTTCTTAGTCCCTGTGGACTGATTGTGCGACCGAAAATGATTTCTCTGTTTTTCTCCCCCTTTTAGGAGCAGTAAAGAGTTGCTCCTCCAGCCTGTGATCATCAGCCGTAACGACAAAGAGAAAGTTCTGATCGAGGGCTCCATCAACTCTGTCCGAGTCAGCATCGCTGTCAAGCAGGTCGGGTCACAATGGTTATGTGTTTAAGACCCTGACAAGAAACAAATGGTTGCTTATCAACAAGTAAATACAACGATTATTATATAAAGTTCCAAAGTGTACTTGTAATCCTGACTGTCCTTTGAAATACTGTGCTGCTGCAGGCCGATGAGATTGAGAAGATCCTGTGCCATAAGTTCATGCGGTTCATGATGATGAGGGCGGAGAACTTCTTCATCCTCAGAAGGAAACCAGTGGAGGCAAGTGGACATTGACAGTGTCACATTTACAGGGTTTCTATTTATACCTATTTATTTATTGGAAGTTAGTTGCTCCATAGTTTCTCTTGGAATAAATGTACATTTTACATTTATATATTCAGTTTCATATTCCATCTGTCACATACTTATACTTATGTATCTATAATACCTTGCTTTACATCTTGTTATTGTTAATTTGTAAATTCAACATGTATATTTTCTACTTTCTTGTTTATTTCTTGTCTTTGAATTTGTATTGTACAATACCATGTCATTGCTGCTGCAACACAAAGATGTCCCAAATTGGGATCAATAAAGTACTAACTTATCTTATCTAAGTTGAGCTCTTGCCTTACGAGCAAGACGTTTTCCTGTTAAAGCTAATGGATGGTAATGAACCAAAAATAACAATTATTTTATACATTATAAAACATCAAAGATGAGTTCATGTAAGTCCTTAAATGGCCAGTAATGGTTATTGCTCATGAACGCAACCTGAATGTTCCAGTTAGTGGAGATAGCAGAAACCAATCAATGTATTTCAAAGGATTGTTGCCATTTTATGTTTAAGCCATTAATGTTTTCCACAAATACTCACAAATTGACCAGAAAAATGATTTGTTGCTAACAGTGGAAACCTTGATTTGTGTGGTTTATTGCTGTTTGGAGTTTTTTAAACAATCTCTTGTCACCCATCTTCATTTCGTAGGGCTATGACATCAGTTTTCTCATCACCAACTTCCACACAGAGCAGATGTACAAGCACAAACTGGTGGACTTTGTCATTCATTTCATGGAGGAAATTGACAAGGAGATCAGTGAGATGAAGCTGTCCGTCAACGCCAGGGCTCGTATTGTTGCAGAGGAGTTCCTCAAAAATGTAAGTTTAAGTTTGTTTCTAAATGTTTCTGCATCTCACGCTCGAATGGATGCAGCATTATGCACAAGTGGCATTCTTTTGAGTTTTTTATGGTGGGCCTTTGGCTCAGATATGTATACAGTAACAGTTTTGCTATTATTCCATTATTTCCTTCAGATGTTCTGTTTCTTAGACATTGTTTTTCTTTTGACTCTTGCAGTTCTAAAAGGGAGAGAACCCTGGGAATACATTCCTTTTTCGATCTTGGCCGTCACCGTGGAGCTTTCACAGAGCAGAGGAGGCTGAATCTGCTCAGCCGAGAGAAGTTCAGAAACATAAGACGTACAGGCCAACGGGCTTTTGCCCTTTAATCTTTGCTCAGAAATATTGATATTTTTTGTGTGTAAATATTGAATATTCATACCAAACATTAAATTCTGCCTTTAGAACGTTAGAAGTCAGGGCAGGTCCTTAAAAAGGTATTTTTATCAATATTTATGAGCACAGGGTAATATGGATTCAAATGTTTTTTAAATATATATATTATATGCATATCCATTTCATTTAGCTATGTTTTGTTATGACAGACCTTAAACCACAAGGGCAATCAATTGGTGCACGTTTCTTCAGTCCACAGAAAACACCTATTGTAGATGGAAATAATAATAAAAAAAGCATACTTGCTGAAAGTGATGATAAATAAAAAATATTATTCTTTGTATTTTAGAGTTTTTTTGTGACACGAAGCACAATGAGCAGATTTGGTTACCTCAAAAATCGAGGGTTTATTGAATGTTTCACGGCTGGAGACAAACAAGGCATTTGGAATTATATTTTGAGCACAGAAATGGACAATATTAAATGGATAATATTACAGAAATTATACATAGTTCTTTAAAATAAAAACATATATTGCATGGTAATTCCAACAGAAAACGTACATCAAACAAACATGCGTGTACACAGTTGTTTTTATACTCCAGAAAGGCATTTGTTTGAATGATCACATTATTGTTCAATCGAAAGCGACTGACTTCACACCGAAGATTTGTATTAGCATTTCACTTTATCCTAGCAGAGCCTCGTCCCAAGATGTGTGATACAGGACATCTGCTGCATCTGTGTCACTTCCGTTTACAGTGTATTACGTCCTGTGTGGGGAAAGGATTTCGTCTTCACCTCTGGAATGTTTTAAGATTTATATCAATATTTTTACTCAGAGTTTACACACTGAGAGAAATTTAGCTGTTTTTGTATATAAAATCTAGCAAAGGAAACGCTGTCTTCTTAAACGTTTCTGATCTCAGAGATTTAAGACTTTAATCAAGAATCTCTCGTAGTAACAGTCTCTTCACAGCTCTTTGACTTCTTCAGAGAAACTTGGATTATATGGCAGTATACCTTTCACAATATACAGTGGAATATAAATAATATCATGGAAAAAGGTGCTGAAAGTTAAGGGGATATAATCATTGCAACATTAAAAGTAAACCCATTTATCAAAAATATTGGCATATTCTTTAGTTTTTCTCACAGGGAGTTAAGCTACAGTAGGAGTTCAGTTCACAACAAAACAAGACGTATAAAAATGGATTACGTTTAGTGAAAGTGCTTTGCAGTTTGAACCTTGATGCAGTTCAGAGACCCGGAGGAAGGTCAGAGGTCAGAGATCAGAGGTGAGCTGGGACCGTCAGCAGAGCGTCTTCTGTCGTGCGCTGCGCTCTCACATTCTGAAACAGTGAGAAAAGCACTGTGTTAATATCCTTCATTACCTATCCTTCATTCAAAAAAACATGATAACCATATTTACAGTATCTCTGATCAAATGACTTTAATGAAGGCAGAAGGCATGCTTATATCTAGTATTCGTTGAGTTTATGAACGGCTGATGTTACAGAAGTTTTTAAATGAATGTTTTTTCTTAAAATAAGTTTAAAAGTTAGATTTACTTTAGCCAATACGTTCTCATGGTTCAGAATAAGTTATAGCACAGAAGTAAGCATTTTACTCTACAATCGTGTATCAATTCATTACTTAACGCTTGATTGGGACACATCAAGTCTGGCACCCCCCCCTCCCTTTGATACATGTACTTATTAGTCACTGTTTTTAAAAATTACTTCAATGATTGCAGAAAAAAGTAACGGGAGAAAGAAGGATTTTTCCATTTTGGACTTTTATATTTACAATAATCTTCAAAACAAAAACGTTACATTTCATGATAAATAATTTAAGCATGTGCGTGCTCAAACAAATGGTTGAAACTGTAAATGTTGATTATATCGTCAATTATCTTTATTTAAGGTTAGCATTTCATTTTGGTGGGCATTGCAGATGAACCCTTCACATTTAGGCAGTGAACAGAGACAAAGTAAGAAAATAATTCATGTGCAGAAGAAAATGATGTAAAGGGAAAATGTTAAAGTGTACAAAAAACAGGCTTTAATGCAAACATACACAAAAACAGGGTGAAATTGTATTTTAAGAAATGATATGACACACACACACACACACACACACACACACACACACACACACACACACACACACACACACACACACACACACACACACACACACACACACACACACACACACACACACACACCAGCTAATTCCCTAGCCCCCACCCTTAGTCAGCACTTTAAACACCACCAAAAGTCTAAAATATGTCGTCGCTCCAGAGGTGGGAGTCAAACTGGTCCTCACAAATACACACAGCCGAGGGATTCCTCCTGGAACTAAATGAATTCTAAAGAGTCTTTCTATTAAGCGAATATAACAGTTTGACATCTATGTGATTGACAGTTTCTGTATTTGGTTGTACTTTGCAGCGTTTTCTCTTATTTCATGCATTTCCTTAAGTAGCAGTGTGTTGACCTCTTCGGGCCAATACAGAACAAGACATGAGAACAAATAGCCATCACTAAAGACAAACATGAGATGAGAAAAGGTCACTGCTGGCAGGATGGAGGTAGGAGCGTCAATGGTCATTCTGTGTCACAGTTGTCGTTCTGTCAGGAAACACCGGTGCATCGGGACATGGGTCCTCTGCCATGTGTGAAAGATGTGCGTTCTCACAGAGAGGAGGGTCCGCACTGACTGCTTCAGGTGGGAGATGCAGACTTAAAATGATATAAGACATACAATGTGCTTCTCCAGTAATGATGAAAGTCACACAGAGCGTTTAAAGGAGACGTGTTTACTGCGTGTGACATTCTCCCTTTTGCGTCCCCGGTCCCCGAGGAGCTGTGTGGAACACGCAGTGAAGCGAGTCACACCTGAAGGGGACTCAAGTGGTCTTCTGCTGAGAGACATTTCTGAGAGCTGCCTGTGATACCTACCTCGGGTCTGTCTCTGTGTGTGTTCACCGAGTCCACGCCTAAATACACAGACTCCACTTTGCATCCTGAGGAAGAGCACAGCAATTATTCAAAGTTAGTGGAGATAGCAAGATACAAATAATGGATAACGGTATCATCAAATATGATTATGACAGCAGGTGTTAAACTGAAAATGGCCGTGAGACATGCTGAAAAAGCTTTAGAACATTTGCATTGCATCACTGATAGGACAGGCATCTTTTTATGGTGAAAAGCAATCTAACCATTTTAAATAAGGTACTCATAAATCATGATAAGGGTCCTCCAGCAACAACAAAAAGCATGGTGTGAGAATCTGTTCTATGATAATTACATTATTTTGTGTCTAGGTGTTTTTTTATTTACCTAAGACTGAAAATAGGATTGTTTTTAAATTAAACAACATGGGAGTTATACTGCATTGCATCAAAATGAATTGAGTTAAAAAGAATATATTGCAATCTAAGTCTTGAAAATGACAGAACTCACCGTAGGCCATGGGGGTCAACTTCAACACCGTGTGCAAAGGGCACTTGAGATAAGGCAACTCGTCTGTGGAGGCAGAGACAGAAAGCTATGAAACTTCTTTTGGGGTCAAGGTGCACATTTACAGCTTGATAATACGTTGTCATCATGTTTTTATTTCCTACTGTGAGTCTTTCATACCTGCAGTCTTGTCCAGGAAATATGCAAGAAGACACCGCATTACGGCCTGGTGACAAACCACCAGAACGTTCTCCTGCCTCTCCAGCTCCATGATCACAGGCTCCAGGCGCTGCACCAGGTCTTCATAAGACTGACAGAGAAACAGAGACCGGTCAGAATCACAGCACACAAACAAATCCATTCCCCTCGTAAGAATTATCCCCAGACTTTAGGAAGCATCAGGCTCTCACCTCTCCTTTGGGATAGCGGTAGCGGTACTTGTCTTGGTCTCTCAGTGCAAACTCCAGAGGGAAATGCTCCTGGATCTCCTCGTACATCATTTCCTCACACACACCCTTTGTTAAGAGGGGAGAATATGTGTTAAACTTGAGTAAACAAAGCTTAAAATAAGGCTGTTAAATGTATGTTGATGATGATTCAACGTACAGCATCTATTTCGTTGAGAGACTTCCACTGTTCGTACGGCACTCCCAGGCTCTCCGCCGTCTGGATGGTCCGCTTCATCTGGCTCGTCCACACTTTCAGATCTGTGATGTTCTGTTCCTGGATGAACTTCCTCAGACATTTGGCATACTAGAACACAAGAGAAAATCCATCCAATGAGAACCATCCTTTCTCCACAAAACTTAGAGGACATTCGATCTCAGGTGTGACACGCACCTCTTTTCCTCTGGCAGACAGAGCAGAGTCTCCTCCGATCCGGCCCTTGATGTTCAGGTCGCTCTCCCCGTGGCGGCACAGGTAGATGGAGCGTGGCGTGATGTGGATGTTCATCAGGTAGTAGACGATCCTGCTTTGGACGTGGTCAAGGACGCGGTTCACCAGGAAACGACAGCCCACGTCGATGATCTTTATGTAGGAGAGATCCCTGGAGGAGAGAGTCAGTCACAGTTCAGTGTTTTTTTTCTGTGCTTATGTTTTCCTTTAATGCCATCAACCTGCCAGGCACTGCAGATGGAAATTAGCCTTTGTGGCTAAATCTGGTATTTTTACAAGACTGGCTCCAGAGCTCATGTTAATGTGCATAGTCTCTTCTTGAGCAAATCTTGAGCAGAACGTGTATTCTTCTCTAAATCATCTGTGTTCCTCACCTGTCCAGAACCTCGTCCAGAGGCTGGTAGGAAGACTCGTAGCACTTGATCCTCTTCATGAAGTCCTCGATGGCCTCCTCTGTGTTGCAGTGTATGTAATCTGGGCTGTCCAACTTAACTTGCTACAAAGAGAGAGAGAGAGAGAGAGAGAGAGAGAGAGAGAGAGAGAGAAGAGAGGAAGTGAGCTTTCTGACTCTGCATGTCTGAGTTTTTTTAGATCTGAACGTCACGCCATCATATAGAAGTGAGAATTATTATGACTAGATCACTTTCTATTATTCTTTAAATGAATACAGTTTTTTTACTACTGTATTTTAAGTGATTTGTATGGATAGAATAAGAAGAGAAAAAGGCTTACCACTATATTTTGTGCAATGACATCTGGGTCTTCACACACAGACTCCACAAAGAACACCTGCATTGACAAGATGTTATGATAAACATGGAGTCACGAAGTCAGGAGGGATCAGAATCCCACGTTTCCTTATTTCACATACCTTAAAGCCATTCTGCTCAGCAAACTTGACGATGGTCCCTCTTCGTTCTCTTGTTGTATTTGTGGCATCAAACACCTGGAACAACAGGTAAAACATTTATTTAGGCAGCTCTAATGTACAGTTTATGAACTGATATTATTATCATTTGCTAATGATAACCTAAGGACATCTTTAAGGACTCACCGCCACCTGTCCTCCTTCCACACTCAGGTACTGCCGGACATCGTTGAGTGCAGCTAACGCACACTGACTGTTGGAGGACATAAACAGCAAAGACTTCTTACTTTAATACCCAAATACATCCACTGCTGAATTTATTAGTTAAAATAACCTTTAAAAGGTAGGGTAGGTAAGAATGGAGAAACCAGCTCGAGTGCGCTAGAATTTGAAAGTACGCAGCCGAAAGAAATCTGCCCCTTCCTTCAGACTTCCTTACAGAGCCCCTCCTCCAACACACACGAACGCGCACATGACCAATGAGGGCACGAGATAAGTTTGTGCACAGATGGAAGGCTGACANTGTGTGATCTGCCACTTCCTTACAGAGCCCCTCCTCCAGCACACAATAACGCACACATGACCAATGAGGGCACGAGATAAGTTTGTGCACAGATGGAAGGCTGACAGGCAGGTAGGCTATCCAGTTATTTGAGCCGGGCCGGTTCAGATGATTGGTCGTGCTACGGCTTCCACAGATGACATTTTTTATGGATTTATTGTCAAACATTTAATATATATGATAACAAAAAGTGTTTTTGAAGTGAATTATCTACCCCACCTTTAACAAAACAAAGCCAAAGGCGTATTTAAATTATGGTATTCTATTATTAAACTAAACAAGCACGATAAAACTACAACACAGCAAGAGCAGATCATAACATTAATATACAAAATATCATGTGACAGACAATATTAAACAACCTTGAATTAAAAGTAGTTTACATTTCTGCTTTATTGAAAGGATTTTGTATGAAGATATCTAGGACCCAACCCCCATCAATTTAAAACAATGTGTGCACTCTAAAGGTCGAAGGTAAACTAGAAAGTAAAACATTTGGACAATATCAACTATGTTCCTTTGTGTTTTCGTTTTCACAAAGGAAGTTTAGGATCTTAACACTTTATTCTTATTAAACCTTTCACAGAATGACCTACAGAAATACTACTTGTTGTCTGATCTGTAGACACACCCCATGCTGTAGTGAAACAGCGGAGGTGGAGGTAGTTGACAGGCCTGGCGTAGACTTACCGTCTGATTTTCAACCCCTCCTCGTTATCTGGACGGAAGAACTCAAAGGACTTGTAGATCTTCAGACACTCCCTCCGGTACTGGCCAACGTTGAACTCTGTAACATATTACAAAATTACGTTTTTTTTTTTACCAGACGGGAGCATTGCTGCTTTCCAAATAAAGTAATATGTGAATATATCTGTTAGTGGGGCAGCTATTACCTTTAGTTGGCACACCTATCCAGTTCAAGTAGCGTGTGAGCTTCTTTGAGATGTAGGTCTTCCCTCGAGCTGGAAGTCCAACCGTCACGATGAGGGTCGGGCAGTTTGTCATGCACACTGTGTGAGGCAGAGAGAGAAACACAGAGCTTTAAGAGATTTAACTCATTTCTGTATAGGTATTGGCTTAGCATGGCTTGTCAACATTGTTTCATTCAGCAAGAGTTTAATTAGTTTTGAAGACCGCTCATAATTACAGCAGACACAATGTGTTGGCTCACATTGAGTGACAGTGACACACATTATTACAACAACTGAAACAGTGAATAAAACACATCTTTCTCTGCCATGAAACATCTTATAACCCCTTTTGAATTATGTCTCATCAAGACTTGAGAATAGCTCTAAGGAGACGTTATACTGAATAAAGGACGAGATTGTACAAGTAGAGCTCAGAAGGTTGAAACCCCTCACACACTTCTGTAAAAGCTGAGCAGAGACACACGCTGGTTCATTAGGACAGCGACGTGCTGTGGAACAATAAGGCTCAGGTTGTTAAGCATTTCTTACTGGGCACAAAAGTTTTGGGGAATTTAGAAGCTGAATCTTTAAACGTTGAGGATGTTTTTGGAAGTAAATCACATTCTGTTACCTAGATTTATTTGTCATTCTTACTAAAATATAATTATTTTTCTAGGTTTCCTTTATCATTATTTAGGGATGTCAAGCAATTAGAGCATTTGAGATTCTGCAGGCAAATATGTCTACTTTCCATCAACCATTAACATGTTTTTGGTAATACAAACAAAAGCCAAACCAAATGCTAATAAAAAAAACTAGTCACATCCATATACATGTCACAACCCTAAGCACTTCTGCAAATATCCCTGCGGGACACTTCGTGCCCTCACTGATCAAATGAGACAAAGGATTAAGGATTAATGTCTAGAGAGACTCACAATAATAAGAGATGAAGTTGAAGCACGGAGTGTTTAGAGCCAGATACAAGACTAGACTGCTTGTGATAGCAGAGCTTGACTCAGCAAAAAGCAGACCGACCTGCAGACTGAGATCTGAAGCCCAACACAGCTGCTCCCTCTCTCCTCCACTCTCAGGTCAACACATCAGACAGGAAGGCTGGTCTTGAGGGCAAATGCATGTATTTGGGTCAAATGACCGAAATCTAATTCACCGAGATTGCAATTCAAATGTACCTCTTCCATGCCCGTATTATAAGGGGGGGGGGGTAAGATTATGTAACACTTACCAAAAAAAAGGAAAAAGGGCAGAAATATTCAGTACTTATTTTACTGCGCATGGTTTTAAACAAACGTAAATATCACTTATCGGAGTAGCTTTAAAATCAAAGCCTGAGTGACCCAGGATACAATAATTAAAAATATATAGGCCTATATTAAGAACAAAAAAAACAAAATATATAAGGATGTGATCAGCAGGAGCCCAAATCAGCTCCCAGTCCCATCCCTGTGCGGCTCGTGCAAGTCCTCCGCATCTTACCGCCTCTCTGCGCGATATGCGCGCTCCTGCACGGCATCCAGATCTTCCTCAGCGGGTTCTGGGTCAGCTCCCGCGGGGAGTTCTCCAGCATGAACTCTTCGTTGTCTAACATCCTTTAGGTTGGTTCACTGATGCTGCCCTGCTAATGGTGAAGTGAGCGATGGGCTGTAGCCCGGCGGTCTGGTGCAGCAGGCTGCCGGGGGATGGATGTCATATCAGCTGAGAAACGGGAGTTGATCCACTACCGTAAACACTAGAGGCGGAGCGCAGCAAGAGTTGAGGAGCAAAGGAGGGACAGGATGTTCATGTTCACTCGTGTTATTTTAACTCCGAGCAACTCCCTCAACTAATTAAATAAATACCATGATGGACAAAGTATCCTAACTCAAGGTATAGGCTACTTACTATTGTTCCATATTAAAAAATAATGACATTGAAAGTACAAATAGGCTAATCATATAAAATGTCAAAAAGTCGCCAATGCACAACTAAAGGAAACCTTTCTGTCAATCACAGATAAGATTTGATCATGTAAAGCGGTTGTTCTTTTTGTTTTCTTTTCACATATTTCAGTCGTGTGACGCTTAGGACTTTACTAAACTTATTGAGATGTAAAACACAACCAAAGAAAAGCCTGAAAATCCTTCTCAGAAATAACTCGAGAGCACAAACACAGCCTACTTCATGTTTCAAGGAAAACGGACACAATATTACCGTAATGTCGCTCGGAGTGACAAAAAGGCAAACAGCGAAAAACAAGCGTTCAGCTGTTCACATGCTGCACACATGGGCAGTGAATGCAGCTGAGAATTTAGCCAATCAGAGAAGAGACGAGAGGTCCAGTAGCCAATAGGAGAGGAGGCTCTGGGACATGGAGGGCGTGATGGCTGGGAGCTCACATAAACATCTTCAGTGAAACCGCCTGCCCACGACCCCGCCACGGCCTCACAGATACCAGCACAAAGCCTTCCTGTGGCAAAAGTCATCAACAACCTCTACATAAGATGAGGAAAACATATTTAAAAAATGGATGATGAACCACTATTAGCTTCTTTTTTTTAAAACGACAATAACTGATAATTTAATGCAAATATTCTAATTATCATAACCTTTATTTGCATAATATAATTTTTTTAGAGAAAGCCAGCCACCAACAGTTGCTGTGCAGGTCCATTTCGGGTCGAAACTAATGATAGTTCTACTAGATCTGCAAAGATGAATTGATTAGTCATAAACTATTAAATGAATCGACAACTATTCTGAAAATCAATTAACCGTATTGATTCGCTTCAGTTCTTCAAAATGGAGGATATGCCGCTTTATCACATTTTAAATAAATATACATTCAAAATCATTCGGTCGAGGGAAGGTTGGACAAAAGGAGCCATTTCAAGATGTCATTTTGGCCTCTGATAAATCATAATGGTCATTCTACTATTTTATCCGGACATTTTCAAAAATAATGGCTCCATTAGTTATTACAAATAATCAGCAGATCATTAGATACATCCATAAACTGCAAAATAGGTTGCAGCCAATAACAACAACAACTTACCACAGACCAAGAGAGCACCGCCAAGTAGCTTGTTTTGTCTGACCAAACATTTAAAACCCAATACATTCAATCAGCAAAGATATAAAATAACAGAAAACCAGCATCTTGAAATTGAAAATGTATGAATCAGCAAATTATGATAAATGGCCCAAACTATTGTCAATACATTTCCTGCATATCAACTAATTGATTCATAGACAAATCATTTCAGCAGCAGCAAACCTATTATCTGTTCTCTAGTACATTTAAGTATTGCATACAAAACACCCTTTTTCATGATTTGTTTTTGTTTCTACACAGCAGTGTGTTGGTCAGAAGCCAAAATATGTGTGAATAGCATTTGTACGCAACCAAAACAACATGAAAATGGAGAGAAAATGTTGACTACAGCTACACAAGACAAAAAAGGTCCAGTGCAGCAGCTTTGCACAACACTGACCAGAAGCCACAACTGGTTCAAGTTTCACTTTCAACTGATGACTAAATCATGTCAATTTTATAACACTGAGTTGTTGGGATATTTAATTGTTTTGTTATTGATGAAGCCTTATGTAGAGTCAGATATGTAACACCAGGGGGAGCTGCCGACTTATTTCTAGGCCAATTTTTACTCAACTGATGTTGACATTAAAAAAAGGTTTTATCCTACTGGCCGCTGTGATATCATCAAACATCTACTGCGACAGTAAACACACACAGAGGTCAGACGAGATTCAGCATGTCAGCAGGACTAATCCCACCAACAACACACCTCACCACAGACACATGCACACGCACACAGCCACACACACCCACACCAACACAGGAACGCACACGCATTATACTGTATATCCAGTGTGAAGTCTCTATGTTTGACCTGCTTTAACATACAATCTAAAATAAAAATTATTTGGTTGCGAGTTAGAATTAAGAGTTGGTTCCCTTTGAGAAAATAAGATCTGTGGCAAGCAAAAGTTTATGATACTTTTGTTCAGCTAGATACACACAAAATAAAACCATATCAAGTATCTCTGCTTTCACTGTCTTAATGACATCGTAGCTTGATATTACCTAATGTACAGATTTCCAGACTAAAATAGTGTGTCATATTAGTGTCAAGTACCAACCTCCTATTTCTATGGACTGTTATCTATTTTCATGCACTCTTGTATGTGTTTTTCCATTTCTGTTTTAAGTATAATATGTTGTATTGCAATTATGGAGTATACTTTATATATATAATATATATATGATTGATATTTGCTTTAAGATGTAGCATAATGCGGTTATAACAGCTTCTGCTTTTAGGAAGGACACAGGGGCAAATAAGGCCTTCCTTCAGTAAGCATTTAAACACATTTTAAAATGTAGACTGGGTTGAGGGCTCTGTGCTGGCCTGTCAACTTTCTGGTTGAGGACCTATAGTTTTGGCGAACAAATATTGGAAGAAAACCTTTACTTTTTAAAGATGTCCCTGTTCACAAAAAATACAGAGCACTATTTCCTAAAATATTAACATAATGCATGCTGTACTATTTTTAAAATAAAAAGGTCTCTAGCTCAAACCATGAAAAGTATACTCACAATAAAAGTATGCAGAAAGGGGCATTAAAATATAGCTCAAGTCAAGGCCTTAACCCTGTAAGGCCCCCGGTTTTAATTTTAACAGCTGGTTTTATACAGTCCGACCAAAAAGACATGCATTTGACAAAGATATAAGTTAAAGAAAAATAGCAAGCACCTACAGCGGAGAAGAGGCAAACAGAGAATGGTTCATATTTATGATTGACCAATGTCTTAAAAAGGATTACTTGATTATCAAATATATTGTTAATAAGTTTGGTGTCAATCAACTATGATTAATAGGCTATTATTTTGTAGTGTAATACAGAACTGATCTATATGTTCGTTTTGTGTTACATGCCAGGGATGACAGAAGAGGAGGTTTCATCTGAGCCAGAAAGATCAATGTCTCCATTGGACTGAAACATCGCAACATTTGCAAGCATAAACACAAACAACCTGCACTTAAATGCTCCCACATGTCAACACATCAGCAAGATCATTGCCGTGAGCAGGCGTACATAGACTGAGTTGGCCACACACACACACACACACACACACACACACACACACACACACACACACACACACACACACACACACACACACACAAGAGATTCTGAGCGGGTGAACTTTCCCCCAGATAGAGCGCAGACACAGAGAGGGAGGGAGGGAGGGTGGGAGGCGCAGTGAGCAAGCGATAAAGGATGGGAGGGAGTGTTTTATTATGATTATTTAGAGAAGTCATCTGACGGAGATAAAAAGAAAGATGAACATTTTGAGTATGACAGAAATGGGAGATAGGAGAAGGTTAATGTGCTGCAGCTGGCATGAGGGTAAATATCCTGCTCTGCCACTATGGAGTGCACGTAGGAAAATAATCTGTGATGGTTTGCTGCACCCACTGAAGCATATTTCGCTCCGTCTGCAGTTTTAAACACAGTTAGGACAAAGCTAACTCTATAATTTCACAAACAGTGACTTGTTAACATCCCTGTTTACAGCAGAGGCAGCTTAACGTGCTGGTTGACTTTAGGCCCATACTGAACAGCTAAAATACAAAGCAGTGTTTGTACTTGACCTTAAAATAACTGGGCCAGGCTCTCCCTCGAATACACATGTAGTATCTTCTAGCATGTTTTTCCTGTCTTTCTGCTTAGCCCCACCTCTCTGTGTGGCAGACTGACAGCAGAGCATATTCTGCACACCAACACTGAGCTCTGTTCATCCCTCGTACATCTGCCACAACATTTTAAACCTCTGTGCTCATATGAGTGCAAATGTCCGTTTATCTGTCCCTGGAGTAACAAAATCTATCACAGACTTGTTGGATAGACTTTGTCCTCTCTGCATGGCGTTTGTCAATATGACAGTACAGTAACACAATGTTAAACAGGCCCTCCAGGCATCATCAGACCTAAATAACATATATAGGCCATAGTATCTGCACTGGTTCAGTTGTAATTCATATGCAAATGTAATCCTGTGTAGTGTGTGAAGTATTAATCGAGAATATTAATAGAATAGTAGGTTGGGTTTGACACTATGCAAAAGTAAACAGAAAGAAGTTCAGGCTTAAATGTCAACAGTAACATGCAAATATATTTGACACAAGCCAATAAAAGTTCCACTGCTACATAGTTTGTATCAATTGGGTTTCTTACACTTGATCAAACAATACAAATGGGTAAGTCACATTTTTAAGCTACAAGTAACCCTATAACAACACAAAAAAAAACGATTAAAAGCAAGCCTACAATATCCTTTGAAAACAAAAACTCCTAAAAGTGCGTTGAGGTTAAGATCTGCAGTAAAACGAGCCTGGAGGTAAGGGTGTTCAAAGAAGTCCATCTGACCTACTCTCACCTCCTTCCACATAGAATGTCCTCACATCAGCTTAATAGTAGCAAAAACAACTTGATATTTCTCGAACCTTCTGCAGTTGCAACTTCATCTCTCAGATCTGCCATCTCGTGGTCCTTGAGCCGAAAACAAATAGTCGTGTTTACATCCTCTCATGAACTGTTCTGTTAGCCCACCAGATAGCTTGCAGGCTAGCTAACCAGCAGCTGCAGACAGGCTTAGCAGCAGATAGGAAGATGCTTTAGCAACTTAGGCATCCCTGTATTTGCATACTATGTATTTACTACATGAAAGCAGTCTGTAACCATGTTTCCTGCAGCAGCCTGATCCGTGTTTCCTCGGTATTCAGCCCTGTCAGCTCTGGAGCATGCCTACGTGACAGAGACTTGTTTACTTCCTCAGCCTGCTAGCCCAGCTGCTCTGTAGCACTCACTGCACACTATGTCGACTTAAGAGAGTTTACAGAACATAAATAAGAAACAGAAAAGTAAGATCTCAGTGGGAGTTTGCACCCTACCTGCCCTGTCCCGGGTGTTTCTGGAGCGACAGGAGCCCCTCATGGTCCCGGTTTTTAAAGCCTCCTCTCTCCAGCGTGGTGAGCAGAGTGAGTCCTGCAGCAGCGCAGCAATGAATGGAGAGAGATAGGCGCGTGCTCATATCGCCTTTATACGCACGAATGCACGTGCACGTGCACAGCCACTTGTTATTGTTTTGCTTTGCTCATGTGCCCCCATCTACCCTTGTTAATTATGTTTAAGCCCTTTTTTTTATGTCAGAATAATAATCGGTATTATATGCACCAGCCAGTGCATGAAGCAAATATATTTTATTTTTATTGTAAATGTTTTATAGCATTTGTATTGATTAAATACATTATAAAACAAGAGGCATTTACACACAATCTTCAGGCCATGTCTTTAACTGGAATAACGTCAAAATGTATAGATTTATTTCAGTTTAAGGGTGCAGATTATTAAATCACAAAATAGTATTATTTTTTAAATGTTCTGGTATTTCCTGGTTCCACAGCCTGTAAGGTAAGAACTGACACAATTCTGGAGTGAAACAGGATTTGAGCTCTTTCAGTGTCAGGTTAAATATGATATGATTTTGGATTGCTTTATTAGTTTATTAGTCTTTAGATACTTTTGACCAATTCCACATTTTATTCCTATTGGCTTTGTTTTAGGTTTGTTCTTTATCAGTGATTTTGTGATTTTACCTTTTTCTTGTGTGAATTTCTTCTTCTCTATTCAACTCAAATAAAGGAAATGGATGAAATTGAAATTACGTGAATGGAATAATTAAAGTTTTGCAGAAACAAACTTACACAATAATAAAAGCATGCAACCAGGCATAGTTTTAGTACTAGTTGGATTATGAATAAAAGCTTCCTGGAGGCGACAGTGTCTGATTAAAATGCAGTGACATGGGGGTGCAGCAGTAACTTGTGTTAACAGCTTGATTCAGCTATGGCCTTGTGAGAGAATAAGAGATAAGAGTCAGCATCTCACAATTATCACATACAATTTAAATGAGTGTATCACAGCACAATTCAAACAGGAGTTTCTTTAAAAGGTCTTGTCTTCGTTAGTGTCTGGCTCCACATCTGCACCTGTCTTTTGCATCTGCTTTTGTCTGAAGACTTCCCTCATGGCATTCAGAATAAGGTCCCCTTTGTCTGTAGCTGTTGATGAGCCCACCTGATACCGCAAACAAAAGAGAAGATCACTCACCAAACATTTTACATTTTCAAATGTACACAACTGGAACATCAGCTTACAGGTTTGAAACTTGCGCTCTTTCTGATTCTCTCTGAGAGAACTGGAGCGGGAGTAGATGGAGGAGGAGGGATCTGCAGGGGAATTGTACTCTGATGTAGTGAGTCTGTCCACAGAGGTGCCGACTGGGGGGTGCTGCTGCCTTTGGAGGGAACCGGTGGTAAAGGCCCTTTCTTCAGAGAGAGGGAGATGGAGGCCCCTGCAGCTCTTGGCAAAGTGTGAGATACTGGGCCTGTCAAATATGCAGAAGAATTTTCTTAACCCTCCTATTGTCTTTGTTTCCCCCCCTTACTTTGGCGATCAAGGTCGAATTTGACCGGTCCTGCTTTAACTGCTATTACATTAACATAAAAACCATTAATCATCACCAAATTTATTTAACACCCTTTCAAACTGTATATATTGTATCAGACTACTGGTATACATGACAAACTGCAGTAAATATACAAAGAACAGACACTGAACATGTATTGCGTGTGCCAGGTGAGATTCACATGGGGGGATTGGGCACATAGGGACACACACACATCTATAGTGTGTGTGTGTGTGTGTGTGTGTGTGTGTGTGTGTGTGTGTGTGTGTGTGTGTGTGTGTGTGTGTGTGTGTGTGTGTGTGTGTGTGTGTGTGTGTGTGTGTGTGTGTGTGTGTGTGTGTGTGTGTGTGCGTGTGTGTGTGTGTGTGTGTGTGTGTGTGTGTGTGTGTGTGTGTGTGTGTGTGTGTGTGTGTGTGTGTGTGTGTGTGTGTGTGTGTGTGTGTGTGTGTGTGTGTGTGTGTGTGTGTGTGTGTGTATGTGTGTGTGTGTTATCTGATCCGGGTGGTTACTAATTCCTTTTCTTTATGGCGGTCATTTTTGACCGGAAACACCATGGGTGTTACAAAGTTGATTAAATCATCCAAAATTCAATGAAACTGGTGATCAGCAATTTATATGTTAAAATGTCTACTGTGAAGGATATCATAAAGCCTTAATGCAATCGAATGTAAAACAAAAAAGTTATGATTGATGAAAGTAGTAAATCGGTCAGATTTGACCCGAAGACAACAGGAGGGTTAAAAGATCTTAGATTACTTAAATGTTTAATTTTGTTGCATAAAAAACACAAAAGAAGCAAACACTACGAAACATGTTTTCCAGATAAAGTACCTCTGTTCCTCAGCTCTCTCTGCACAGCCTTTAGTCCTCCAAATTGCTTGATGATACAGTCGACAGCTTCGGCGACGTCTTTTTCTTTCAGATCTTCCTCAGTCAGGCTGGCTTGCATCAACAGCCTCCTCATAGCCGGGTCCAGATCCTTACATTTCTAAAGGAGGGAAACAGGGGATGGACTGAATTAGTGCGCTGTTTCCAGAATGTCTAATCACAGTTTGAGTCTCACCATGTGATTTATTACCGTGGACGTTTCCTCCATCTGAAAAAGTGGCTCCTTGTCTAAAAGGTCCAGTGGCTTAATTGTACTGAAAGACAAAGTAAACCATCCCTTTAATCCACCACTCTCTTCACCTCTGTACGTCTATGCATTTTAACATTTTTGTCACCCAGAACTATGCGGATCACTTGTGGATTTGTTTTTGTTTTCAATATTTGTTTTTTCACCCATCATGGTCATCTTTTCTGAAAAACAGAAGGCGTGAAATTAGAGGAAATGAAAAGTGACAGAGCTGTGTTCACCTTCACATTTGAAGTGTGTCTAGCATGTTACTGCTGTTATTCTCACCTTGGTCTCTTTGGACAGCCTCGACGGACAGAAGGAATTCTTCTGCCTCTGGCTCATTTGCAAAGTTGAGGCCTACCTGGTTGCCCTGTTCAGACATAGTAAATCCATGAAAAAACACTCAAAAATGGATCACCTGATGGATGATACTTAAATAATAGATAGATCGGGATATCATTAGTGTTGAATTATTTGAAAGAATCATTTCCATGTTGCAGGTGGAGCCAATTTCCAAAATGTACTTTATTTGTTATTGCAGGGCAGCTTATTCCGTTATAACACATTTAGCAATATTGATTTATACTTTATATTAATAAACTTAATCTGCAAAAAACTACAACTTTAAAATACATGAATAGGGGTGAAAAGTAAAATATTGACTTAAAAAATGCTGTGGAGTAAAAGTATATATATAAGTAGAATACAAGATATATTCTTAAGTTAAGGGAACCTCACAAATCTATTTACTGAAAGCATTGAATTAATGTACTTATAGTAACATTTCAGCACTGAATCTAATGAGCGTGTTGCATTCACTGATGCTTGCTTACATCTGCAGGGAATGTGTGGAAGAACTTGCAAGGTGCGGTGTATTTGAAAGGGATGTACAGCTCCTGCTCCCACAGTAACATCGCACGCTTTGTTCAGGAAAAGACACAGGAATGGTCAAAAGAAAGGAAAAGTGAAAGGGGTTATAAGCAGATGTTGTAGCTACTGTAGAATTGACATTAGGAAAGGCACAGGGACACACAACAAGATGTTAAATGTAATTGCAAATCAAAGGTGTACATGGAGTAACTCTAATCAGTTCTGCAGTCCCTCTTACCTTGACACAGTACAGGCGCAGGAAGTAGGTGTGGATGGAAGTGTCCTCGATGAGACACACAGCACCACAACCCAAACAACTCCAGCCGGGACTCTCCCCCCCGGTCCCTTCAGACACCAGAACCTGAGCTACTGTGGACTGGATCAGCTGCAACACACCAGTACAAATCAAAACTCTAAAATGCAATGATAATCTTTAACAATAACCAAAGCAGGCTAAAAGGATTACATGTGCTGAGCTGTTTAAAAGCCTCTTCTCTGCTGGTGAAGGTACGGAAGACTTTTACATTACATTACATGTCACTTGTTAGACGCTTTTATCCAAAGCGACTTACATACTTAATACTGTGGACAATCCCCACAGGGGGATAATTTGGGGTGAAGTGTCTCAGGGACACAACAACATGCTGACTGCAGTGGGACTCGAACTTGCTACCCCCTGATTCGTAGTCCAGCATTCTACCCACTGAGTCACAGCCCCCCACTTTTAAGTCCCACTTTTAATTCCCCCCAAGCTTTCCTGATTGGGAATACGGTTTAGTCTGTGTTTGGGCATCTTCCTTACCACAAGAAACATATGTTTTTTTGGTATTTTGTATTATCCACAAGCCCTCTCCTTTTCTAAATGTTTAACAATCCAACCACCAACCTGCCTTCACTCTCATTTAGCTTTTATAATGTATGATATAACAAACAACTCTTGTCTTTTGATGCATTCTGCTTTAGTTTCAGAGTGGAGAGGCAACTTCTCAGAGGGACCATGACCTCTTTCAAGAGGGCATGATGCTGGGAAATTATCCATTTCACTTTTTATTATAGAACAGCCCGACATAAACATTGTTACCTTATTTAGTTCCCATGTGTGTGATGATTTATTATTACCAATAGAGAATGAAGGTGCAGGATTACAGTTGATCCTTTTTTTCCTATTTATGATACACTTTGACATCTAATGTTTTAATGTTATACTGATGACACACTGAAATCTGTCTGTAAAAACAACTGCTATCTCTTTTTTTATTTATTATGACACCTTTATTAAATATGCAGCTACCCTTTAGTTTCTTCAACATTTCGGTAATTAGTCATTAAACCTGCATCTTATTGATTGAAATCCTGCAGTTGGCTACATTTGTAGGAGCATAAGCATATTGTTTTTTATTTATTTATCACCCGCCTCTAACTTCTTTGCTCTTTAAAGTGCTCTAATCTACATGTTTACATGTAGCACCTGCTCTGCGACCATATTCAGGTTGTATCATACAACACAAAGCAAACAAAACAGCCCTCACAGAAAGCCCATTCATCCACCAGACCTGCTCCGATCAATGTTACTGATAACATGAAAACAACACCAGGCTGCACTCATTCTTAATATGTTCATTTATGACAATCGCAGTGTTTACCAGACTCAGACGCCCATTTAATTTAGCTGATTCCTAATGTTTAATTTAAACATTCAAAGAACACATAATTATTCTGAGGAAAATTCTGTTAAACTGATCATTTAAATTGACAGTAGTAAACCATACTGACCTTACACTGAGGATGGAGCAGAGTGAAGAGGACCCCTTTCTCACGGAGAGTCAGGAGATCACTCATTACCTGACATCCAGGAATCACACCTGACGCCATCACAAGACCCTTGTTCACTCCGTGTGCTCGCCACCACCACCTCGTCCTTTCATCCAATTCTGATCCCTATGCATTCACTCCTGACTATAGCGGGTTGGAATGGCAGTATTTCCATTGCAGCTGGTAATCATGCAAATGAATTTGACTTGGTGTTTACTTTGCACTGCAGCTTTCCTTTTCTAACTGAGCAACTGTACAGTCAATGCAGGAAGACATTTGTTAGTAAAATGTATGTATGATCTCTTTTTTGTGATCCATTTATGAAAACATTAAAGAGGGTAACACTTAATCAAACGTGTAACACCTTTTTACTCATCAAACACTTAAACATAAACGGACCTAATCTACAAGCAATAGTACAAAATAACTAAGTTGATTCACTCAAGTTATTCTTTTAGTTTTTGAGGTGAACTTTACCTGATAATGTGCTTATTATGATACCGTACAGCATACTTACATTTACTATATTTCAGAGGGAAATATTAAGTTTATACCAGCTAAATAGTATATTATAGATGTTACTACATACAGACATCCATCTGCTGCCTTATAACATCTTATTGTTTGATACATTAATAACAATTAGTTAATATTAGGTTCTGCTACACTACTAAAAACTGCACGATTGTTACTTAATGGAGGGATTTGACATTGGAGTACTTCTTGTACCACTGGCTACACCCCATATTGTGCACATGAAAAATGAACAGTAGGTGTTGGGTTTGTACCGCTAAAGGTTAACTGCTCTTATCATTCCATTTTTAAAAACATTGAAATGTTTAAAGACCAGTCTCTCCATCCAACAAAATAAAGCACAGCAATTATTTCTCAAAATATCTAATGCAGTTGAACAATAATACAAAATATAATTTGTTACCATTTGTTATCCAATATATCCTTTAAAGCTTGAACTGTAGGATTCTGCAGTACATCCTCTGGAAGCTGTTTCATGCTTTTCAGCACAACTTATCACATTTTGCTGTGAATGATTTCCTTTTAAAATCAGGTTCATCTGTAAAATCATATGTATTCCTCATATATGACATCTTTCAGACCTGTGATCAGTTTGGTAGCCCTTCCTTAAACCTTTTACTCAAAGAGTTGCTGTTATCGAGGCAGTTTTCATGGCTTTGTAGAGGCTCCCAGAGGAGAAAGTTTAAAGTACGTGGAAATGTCTGGTAGGGTTGATCTCACACATGAGCTTCGCCTCTCAAAGTTGAAATGTCCTTTGAACATGCATTACAATACCCACATCACTAACAATCATAAAAGTTGCCTCAAGGTCTTATAAATCGGATGTAATCTTGCCTAATAAATATACGTTATTACTTCCACATATAGTCTTATTTTGTTTGCAGCAAAAACAAGCTGCCACAACATCTTTATACTCAATTTACTCTCTGATTTTCACCATAAAGCTAAAACAGGTTTCTAAAGAGGTTTTGTAATTCTCTCAGTGTCAATCAAATTATATTAAATAAGGTCATTTGTATGCAAGTGACAATACAACACAGCTGTAAAACATAAAAAAACAGGTTTATTTCATGTCTTATATTGGCAACAATGAAAAACACTGACATTAATTGACTATTGAGTGCAGTGATTAAAAAAAAAGAAAAAGTAAGTAGTGAAATGTGAATTGGAAAGCTCTGGCGTTGGTGGTTTTGAACTACTTTTATCCAATGATCGTTTACTAATGCTATTCAGAAAAAGTAACTTCTCTGTGGCTGTTAGACACCACTCCTCCCCCTCCTCCATCACCCTCTCCTCCTTTCTCCGCTCCTCCTGGCACCGGCCTCTGGCGTCTCTTGTTAAGCAGAGGGTTGTTGGATGTGTCCAGGTCTTTGATCTTCACCTGGTCGTAGTCCACCCGCATGGTGGCCAGGGCGCTGGTCATCTCCTCCTGTTGGGAGACATACTGCTGTGTAAATTGGGTGCTTTACTGCCACCTTGTGTTCATATTCTGAAATTAAACAAAGTTGATCCCACCTTCACATCGTCCCACAGCTCCTTGTCCTCGGTCAAAACACGAGAGGTATGCAGGGGCGTCGGAGGGACCACCATCGACTGCTGCAGTGTGAAAACATACAAAGTTCTTATCAATAAAAGGGGCATAAATACAGGCAGTGTCCACAAAGTAGTCATATCAGTAAAAGTAGTGATACCGTACTGTAGAAATACTGCTGTTATAATAATACTGGACAACACTCCATTAAATAATAACATATTATCGTTTATTGTATTATAATTATTGATGTATTCATGTGTTCATCATTAATGTTGCATCTGGTTTTAGGAGGAGATCATTTTAATTATTATTATTTACTGCCAGGTAGAATTTAACAAAGTATCAATAAAGTTGTATTTTAACCTATAATAATACATCATGAACTATTTTTTAATTAGTTTGTGGTTATCAGTATGAATGAAAGTAACTGAAGTTAACAGGAGGAGCAATCAAAAAAAGTAGCAGAGAAATGTAAACAATAATAAAGGTGAAAGTATCTTATATACAGTAAATGTTACTGCATACAGGTCAATTTAAAGACAACTTGATAACTTACACTAATCCAGGGATGGTTCATAAACTGTCCGATGGTCATCCTCTCATTGGGGTCGGTCTTCAGTAACTGGACGATGAGCTGTTTGGCTACAAAACAGTTCAACGATATCAAACATTTAACCCAATACATCTTGATAGCCATATGAACCTCCAATAAGGCTGTCTCTTTTGAGTTAACTGGAGATGCTGTCAATAATTCTAAAACATATTTAAAGCCCTGTTACAATTTTGAAATATTTTCCTTGTAATTTAGAATTTTGTGTCCGCAGCCTGACCTTCTTCAGAAACGTCGGCCCACTCGGGGTTGGGGAACTCATACTGTCCCAGCCGGATCCTCTGCTTCATGCCTGGAGAGATGGCCTGACCTGTGTTTGAGTAGAACGGAGGAAACCCACACAGACTAGAAACAGACGAAGAAGAACATATTTTACTTTGCTTCATTGGTTAACCAAACAAAGAGTTAGACATTTACATATAGTGCTATAGAGTTATAAATGTTTCATTAAGTAGAAACGGCTGCAGACGATACTCACAGAATGTACATGATTACGCCCAGAGACCACATGTCACATGATTTGTCATATTTCTCTGGCCCAAGCACTTCAGGGGCTGAACGGACAAATACATACAGAAAAACAACGCAATGATGTCGAGAACGAGAGACACACAAAAGCAGATCATTCTACACCCAAAAGGACAGTACATGACAGTACATGACGATGACCATATCCAAAAACTATGACTGGTATAGCACAATTGTGGAAGGCAACTAAGCAAAGTTTGTGAATTATTTAACTAAAGTAAAATGTTTAGGTCCATTAACTGCTACTTTATATTTCTACTCCACTACAATTCAGAGGCACATTTTATTATTTGTACTTAACTATTTTTATTAGATAACTTTAGTCATTACAAAAATTGAAAATATTATAATATTATATGATACAAACAAATAATTTATTATGTATTAATAAAGGTTAAGATAAACTTTATTGATCCCTTCGTGAAATACACAAGCTGTGTATGGAAGAAAGAAACTCTTCCTGTAGCAGCTGCAGCATTTAGCAATAAACACATTATCGCATGAATATTTATAATCCAATAAAATAAATATATATAATTCTGAAAAGGGCCATGGTGTATATTGAGAACTTTAACATTTTGTGCTTATATTTTGATACTTGAGCACTTTCACTTGTCACAGAGTATTTTTACACTCTGCTAATACTACTTTTACTAAACAAATCTAAAATATCTGAGTAATTGATCCACCTCTGTTTATAATACCGGCACAAGTCCTGTATACCTGCAGATTTGATCAAGCTCCGGATAGCAACCACTCACCAACATAGTAGGGAGTGTAGCAGGGGGTTTGGAGGGAGTTGTGCAGGGTGGTTTCCTTAGCAAAGCCAAAGTCTGTCAGTGTCAGTGTGGCGTTACTATCCTTGGTGGTATACAGCAGGTTTTCAGGCTGCATGAGATAAAGTTAATGATTAGAGACTCAAAATAAAGCATTAAACAAAAAATGATTTTAGACTTCAGCAGCACCTTTACATCCCTATGAGCGATGTCCACGTGGTGAAGGAACTCGATGGCCATGCCAATGTCGTGCATGATCTCTGACGCCTCTGATGGACAGACAGGAAATGGATGTAACATGTACCGGACACAGAATAGAGACATTTAAACTGCTCACTGTGACCCACCTCTCTCTGTGAAGGCCTGGTCCCCCCGGGCCTGGATGCGGCTGAACAGCTCCCCTCCCTCCATACTGCGACAAGATTAACAAAGAGATCAGAAATGGGGCAGAGAGGAAACTCTGGGCAATCACTGTTCTCCACTGCGGTCGTGGTTCGACAACAAAGCCAGTCATTGTGAGTCATAATGTACCGCTCAGATGAGTCCAGTCTATTGAGCCAAGACAGCCACAGATGACTCGAGCAGTGAGGACGTATTCAAGGGGAAATAACAAACTACTGAATTCATTTCATAATCAATGATGATCATGTTTCAACTCTTAGCATTAAAGTTCACCTATTGTGCAAAATCCACTTTTTCCTGTCTTTTATACATAAACATGTCTGAAAATGAGAGATATGTTTTGTATATATCAGAGACCTATAATATATTGATGAAAAACAGTATAATAGGGGACCTTTAAAATGTGTTTTGTGAGTCTATTTCAGTCTGAGTTAAATTAAAACAAGAGATAAAGCGACAATGAACAAGTAATGAATATAGGCAAAATGGGCTGTGTGTAATTCATTTAAGAATGTAATTTAATTAAAGGTGGGGTAGCTAAGTTTGAGAAACCGGCTCGAGATACACTTTTTGTTATATTCCATTGAATGCTCTTAACATCCCGATAGCAATGAATATCTTAAATGCTTTGACAAAAATCCATAAAAAAATGTCATCTGTGGAAGCCGTAGTACTGTAAAAAGCACGACCAATCATTTTAGCCGGCTCGGCTAAAATAACTGGATGGCCTACCTGCCTGTCAGCCTTCCATCTGTGCACAAACTTATCTCGTGCCCTCATTGGTCATGTGCGCGTTCGTGTGTGTTGGAGGAGGGGCTCTGTAAGGAAGTGGTAGATTTGTTCCGGTTGTGTATTTTCAAATTCTAGCGCACTCGAGCTGGTTTCTCCAAAATTACCTACCCCACCTTTAAGTTTGGACCCAAATGTATTATCTAAAAGCCCAAGCTGCGATGTGGAAGAAGCCATGAGGAGCAAAGAAATATCAGGAGGTTGTTTTATCCATGATGCAAACAAAAACAGAAATGGTTTGGCAGAGTGCAGCAGAGTCACAGAGAAAGTGGAAAAATAAATTCCAATCCCAAGTGGTCACTCAAGATGTCTCCCATTTAAATTCTTATACCAGGTGTGAGCTGATCGGGCTCAGCTGGATGTAGATACCTTCCAGACATGTGTAGAGACAAGATGTTCTGAACATTACAACAGTTGTTCATACGTTACATATAAACAGCTTTAGGAGGTATGACTTCACAGTGTGTCTCTCAACTGTTAAACTTTTGTCAATGACCAAATTCAACTCAAAGCTTTTTACACAAACATTTCAGGAAAAAGCACATGAGAAATCTATTTTTGCCATTATTTTTAGGGCTGCAGCTTACGATTATTTTCATTGTTGAAAGATTCTGCTGATATCATTTTGTTGTTTGGTCTATAAAAACGCCAAGTTGACTCCAAGTCCTAAAATGCCTTGTTCAGTCCACAGCTAGCATATTTTCCTAACACTCATTAAAGAGTAAATAAACTGTAAAAATGTTCACATTTAATATGTTTCAAATAAAGATGTTAAAATAATTTCTTAGAAATTCCTAAAAATTCTCAAAATATTGGCAATAAATATAATAGTTCACTGCTTATTGATACATTGTTGCAGCTCTAATTTGCTTGAACGTAAGCAGACAATAAATGACGTATGGCTGGTAATGCTCACCACTCCATGATGATGAGGAGACATTTCTTCCCCTGGTGCATGTTCTCATACAGGCTGAGTATCCGGACGATGTGAGGACCTCCAGAAACTCGACAGTGCAGCTCAACCTCCCGTCTGGCTTTAAGAGTGTCGTACAGGATCTGCTCAATAACACATATTAATGAAATATCTCTGTTTGAGATATGTTGAACGGTATCCAGTCTCCAAGGTATATCAGATGGATATGTTTTTAAATAATGAGTTGGACAGGACTAGTCAAAAAAATCAATAAACCCACACAGACAACACAGCCCTCCATTGGGAAGACACTCACCATTTACAGCACTATTAGTGGTTGCTATTAAAGCCATTAATCTACATTTCTAGAGAGAACATTAAGAGTGAATACAGTCAGACTTCATTTAGCAATGTGCTCTGTTTTTAAAGACACAGTGCTGCAGCTCTGGGTTCACAGCCAGGGGAGGAGGATATCCTTTTTGCCTCGACATGCAGACCCCAGCCCAAATCATTGTGGACAATACGGTGCATGTTGAGAACTGAAGGAGGAAAAGGGCACTGCTTGTTTAGGTTGGACTTTCCTCCAAATCCTCTATGCAGAAATCACAGTATTCCACAGAACACTAAACTACTTCCACAGATTCTCATTCCATGGTACGGTACCTTTTAGGATGTGGCTAAGCACACATTATATTCCAAATAAATCCTGCAGAGGCACTCATGGGGCTGCTCTTCCTGTTTGTGTTTTCTTAGACTTTGCTTCAACCCTACACTCAGCTGTTTATTGAATTACCAGCAGTGCGAGTTACTCACAACTCATATTTCCCAAGTAAGCTTTAAAAAATACTTGTAAACATTGTATAAGCTGTATAATTAATGTTGTATAACAGAGATACAAAATACAAGTGTTAAATGTCAAATGATTGTGTGAGGTATTAACAGGGCAGACCATTGTCCACACAGAAATGGGTGAGTGGAAATTGTTTCAAAGTAACCCAGACAACACATCATTGTCAGACAGACACTGTCTGGTTGGCTGAGTTACTGAATTTGTTTTTGAATATTGCTTCACCCCTCTGTTGTGGAAATCATGATTTATCCGTGTAAAATCTCATAAGGATAATACAAATTCAAAATCAAACTACGTCAATCCAAAATTCTTGACACATTTCCAGATTAGGAGAAACCATTAAATGGAGAAGATCACAGAGAGGAAATGAATAATTGATGGCATTCTCTCTTGCTTTCCAGGCAGCAGCCTCCAGAGGACAGGACAGTGTAGATCACACAGACTGAAGGAGCAGACAAACACACACCTTCAGGGCACATTTCTCTCCCGTTTTCTTGCAATAACACTCCAGCACTTTCCCATTGATTCCCAGACCAAGAACCTGGGATGTGATTTTATAGTCATCAGTCACTGCATGTCTCTTGAACTCCACTTTGGAGTATGCAGGCGGCTGCTGGTCAGTCGGGGGGTCGCTGTTGGAGTCTCCGTGGAGCGCTGGCCCGGGCTGCGCACTCATCTGATTTACCGACTGCTCCTCCTGGTTATGATGCATTTTGAATTCTTCTGTAAAAAGCGAACAGTGAATCCGAGTAAATGTCATCACCATGTGACGCAGAAAATATCCGGTGTCATCCTAGTTTATCCGCGTACGTCCAGAGGACTTCTGTGATACTCGACTGAACATCTCGAACACTGTGCGAACAAAATGAAGTGAGCAGTCTATAGGAAACTCATTGGAGCACAAAAAAGGGCGGATGTCAGAAACATGCAAGTAGGCTATAGAGAACTTAAAGAATATGTAAACGGATCTGGATACATTAGAGATAAAACAACGAGAGGAAATAAAAAGCTGTCTGGTCCCCCTGTCTGTTCCTCATCACGGCTCTCTGCCTTTTCCTGCAGGGATCACCAAGCTCTCAAATTCCCTTACGTCAGCGCGGAGCTCCTCAAATTCATTTTCTTAAAGGAACAACCACGCGTAAAAAACAAAACCACAGACGCACGTACCAGTTGAGGAAACAGAAGACCAGAAATGAATGTAATCTACTTTATACTTGCACTATTTTTTGGACTACAGGTGGAGCCTGTGACCTAAGATTTTCATCATCATAAGTAACTACACTGTAGCTATGTACTAGGACTAATACAAGCCTTGAACCTTGATATTAAGTTTGTTCCCTTTATACCATTTTGTGGAATCTTCCTTTCACTTCCCTGAATACTGAGCCATACAGACAAGAAAGGAGGAAGGACACTGTGACTTCTGTATAATGCCAATAAAGTTATTAACTGAGCAGTCAAGATGGCGTTAAGAGGAAGAGAGTGAGATAAACAGTATGACTTTTGTCTGTCTGATATGGTTGAATTTGGGAAGAACCAGTCTCATTTGTATATTGTATGTCTTGAAACATGTGCACGTTTTGATTTATGTTTCTCTTCTCACACTTTTGACCCACATGATGACATCACAGACAATTTTATGGTACATTTCTTTTGCTTAATTTCAAGGTTATTTTTTTAATACCAGAAACTTGAATTATAACATTAAACCAAAAACAACCCGTTACTCTAGTGCTGTGACAATCACTCGGTTTTGGGATCCAGGATGGTTTATTTTACCTTTTTCTACAATATAAAAATAAACAAAAGCAACATTATTCTGCCTTTAACCTGTTATTGACATTTTGACTGATATTTGAGGACATGTTGTGATAAACAAATGAGTCTTTTTTTATTTAAACATACTTGTAGTTTAATTTTCAGCACAAAAAAAGGAATACATCCTTGCAGATTCAATTATTAAAAGAGCCGAGCACAACATTGTAGCATTCAGTGTACTCATGGCAAATAATTTATTTAACAACATTGCACCTGAATCATTAACTACTTCACTTTATGTGTATAATCAAACCTTTAAAATGTCTGACCAAGACACGTCTGAATGGATTATACTGTAGGTACTATTGATCTGTGTGGCTGAACGTAGCTGGCTGTTGAGCTGTGCTAAGACGTTGGCTAGCCCTGCAGGGCCCGGTCCAGCACTTGCTCATCCTGCACAGGGAAAGGCATGGTGACACGCAGCTGCTCGTTCTCCTGCATGGTGGCCTGGATGGTATCGTAAGCGTTTGTGTTTCCAGACCAGCAGCGACGGGCCACCTGCAGCACGCAGAAACAGAGCATGTTATTAACAGTAGGTGAAGCTGGACAGTAATCATGCTACTCTCCTCTCTGCGCTCTCACCCCATTGGAGACGTCCCAGTTGAGCATCAGTCTGGCCCGCTTTGCAGCCTCCTCAGAGCCGTCCAACAGCAAACCAAAGCCTCCATTCATCACCTCGCCCCTGTAGGTGATGAACGAGAGATAGTGTTAAAAACACACTGAATTGGTGACAGACAAGGATTGATTAACCTTTCACAAAGATGTATTCCTTTAATAGTAGCACTGACTGGATCAACACTTACTTGCTGTTTTACTAAATGTTTACACCTATTTATACACAAATGTATTAATTATGCATATACATGCACAACATCTTTGTCTAAATTCAGTTCAATCATTTACAACAATTTACTTATTATATTTTATTTTTTATTTTAGCCCCATATTTTAACTTTCACTACTTTATGTCCACATTTTCCATTTGCTTTGACTTGTTGGATTTATTTGACTTTTTCTTTCAAACATATTGCATTGTTTGAGGGAGCATGTGATCAAGGAATTTCATTTTTAAAAACGTAGTTGTGTTATAGTTGTGTGTATGGTAATAAAGAACTCTTGAAACTTGAATGAGCAGCCACCCTTACCAGCCAACACCACCGCCGTTGTGCAGAGATACCCATGTGGCGCCCCTGAATGCATCACCAACAAAGTTCTGGACCGCCATGTCTGTAAGAGCAAGGCATATTTATTTTCAATAGGACAATTCCAAGCTCTTTACATAAAGCATCTAAAAGATTGACACATTAAAAAAAGGTATATTAATACAATTACATTAAAAAGCCATAAGAATATACCATTAAAACAAGCTAAAATATAGTAGAACAACTAATAAATAACAGTTATAAATTAATATTATGATTTGATAAAAGGCAGTAGCAAACAGAAAGGTTTTTTGGTTGATTTAAAATAACTGAGGGTTGCGGTGAACCTGCAGTTTTTTAAGATTTGTTTAAGATATATGGTGCATAAAAACAAAACATTTTCCTGCGTTGTCACTGGTTTATATGAAGAATTGAGGGAGGAAAACAGATTTGTTGTGTTGTATTTTTAGCTTAGTAATGACAAGTAACAGATTCTGTTTGTCCCTCATGTTTGTGTACCTCTTAAGCCTATAGTCTCCTGAATAGCTGTAGTGAACGAAACACATACCTGCACAGAAGGCAGATCCATCATACACATTAGAGGTTTCTCTGAAGGGGCTGTCTGTTCCACTAACGTCATGATGGTCTCTGCTAATAACCACAGGAGCCTGAACAACAGAAATAACACAAGAAACTTGAGACTTCAATGCAAACTCAATATCACGCAGACCGCTGTCAACATGAAATAATCTTCTCAGCAGACGATGTATCCTCTTACTAAAACTCTTCCGTCGGCAATAGCCTGGTTGATAGCTAAAGCAATGCAGACTCTGCCTTTCTGGTCGGAGTAGAGGATTCTGGCTTGGGATCCCACAACCTAACCAAAGAAAACACAGATATAAAATCATCTAAATGCATATCTTTAAAATCAGATTTTCATTAAGTGATAGAGATGGCTGCCCAGAGGGTTACCATGTTGTGTTTTCCAGCCTCTCTGATCCAGCGAATGTTATCATTGTACTGCTGTTTGATGCGATCTGTCACGTTGGCACTGATTTCCTCCAGAACGGTAGCGGCGATATTGTCCGTTACAGAAAGATCTTGGGGGTCTCCAGATGTGCACACCCAGCGAAAGGGGCCAAAGCCCAAAGAGAAAATGTCACTGCAGCCAAGGCAGAAGGAGATACATCATTAATTGAGAGAAGAACATTTTGGATTGCAATTATTGATCTTTTTGTAGACCTACACGGGTGTTTACACAGTTCTATCACAGGATGAATGCTAGATGAAAATATAAGAAATAACATCTCACCCCATAATGTGCTGGACATAAGAAGGGTAACGAAATTCTGTGGCTCCTCCGCCAACCTTTTCTACCTCTGCTCCTATAAAAACAAGAAACACAAGTCTCTTCAGTGGTCTGTCATTGGGCTGGATGATAATGATGACATCAGAGTGTATTGTGTGGGAGTTGAATTACTGACCAGCTCTCTGGGCCTCCAGGAGAAAAGCGTTGCCGTAGTCCCAGAAGAACATCCCAGCCTCAGACAGATTGTTGATTGCCTTAACGTGTCTTCGGAGGCTGTGAGCGCATATAAAAAACATGTTCAACACACATTATGTAATTTGAGCCACTAGCCATCTAGAGTTTGGTGGTATTGTAAAGTATTAAGGGATTATGGGAGGTTGGTATTGCAGCCAGCTTCTTACAGTTTGTATAACCTCTTATTTCGGGAGTTTCCTTTTTAGGTCTCTTCCTCTCCAGAGAAAAGTAAATTAAATGGATAAAAACATAAGTGTTCAGGCCCAGCTTAGGGGACAACTGAGATCCAAGGGGGATGAGCTGAGTTGCTATGCATATTTTTCTCAGCTTGTGTCTCTAGTAACCCAAGATCAAGATGGCCGATGACCATTTGGTTAATCTGGATCAAATGTATATTTAAAAACGGCCAAAATCTAAAAAGTGCATTGTAAACAGTTGGCGTCAATCTAGATAAAAGGTTTCCACCATTTCAAATGCATGTGCAAAGATTGTGAGACCAATGAAACATACTGTTACATTTATAAAAATTAAACAGATTTCTCTTGCTTTGAAAATTGTTAGAAATATTTACGATAATGTAGGTGTACATATCCCCAAAATATAGGAATTTTTAATCTGTAAAGGTTAAATAATGTACCTTTAATGGGCCGATATATTGCTGAAAATATAACATATAAAAGCTAATCTCTGTGATTGAAATGACCTTTCTTGGACCATGGTTATGAAACGTTTAGGATCCGTCATCATGAGCTGATTGGCCTGGCGGAAGCTGAGCTGCGCTGGGTAGTAGCCTCCGTTGTACGGGTTGTGAAGCGACGTCTGGTCTGAACCCAAATCCACCAGCAGCTCCCCCGTCCTCTCATACTCCAACAGCAGCCTCTCCCTGGATGGAAAGTAAGGAAGAGTAGGACAAAGATGTCAAGAGAGTGGAAAAGAGGTGTCTGTGTCTCTGTATCTGCAGACCTGGGTCAGAAACTCACCATAAGTCCACAATGTTGCCATGGAAACCCATACTGAGAGGAGTCTTGGAGCTCTTGGCCTCCCTGAAAAACAAAAAATAATCAATGTGTGATTACGTTATCCAAGACAGCTTTACCTATGGGAAACATCTTCCAGTCTTTTCTGTGGATACGAGCTTTGCTATCATGATACTCATCTAACAGTGGACAGCCTAGGTCGCAGTGAAGGTGGGTTTATTTATTCAAGTCTCTGTGAAAATGTGAGGAGCGAGTACTACACCTGAGAACGTTCATTTCAACAGGGAATTATTGCAACTTTTACTCAACCAGACAGACATGTCACACTGCTTACAAATCATATGCTGGCACAAAAAACATCAACAGCTGTATGGTTTAAATAACTTAATAGTACAAAAAGTTGTAATAATACCATAATAAGTACCACAAAAAGAAAGAAATTAAGGACATTTTGGGGAATATGCTTGTTTGCTATTTATCCAAGAATTAGAAGAGAAGATTGAAACCACTCTATATCTTGTAATATAAGGCTACTGGTATGGTTGGTTATCTGAGCTCAGTGATATTGATATTCTCAGTACCTCCCAACATTTTTTATAATTTTTTAATAATCTAACATCTAAGATTATAACACTCTACATTGTTTTTTGTTTTTGTTTGTATAGTGTGGTATTGTCACTCTTACTTAAGAATATGATGTGAACACATACTCCAGCTCTGCAACATGGGGATTTTAATCTCATTGATGTAAAAGAAACACACACACGTTCCAAGTGTGTCATATGGATTTAAAAGTTAAATTGAATGCAGCAATGATTTTAAATAGTGATTTACACAGCTATAACCACTTTTCTTTGTGTTACCTGATGCGTTTAATGCAGTGGTCCATGCTGCTGGTGACCTCCATCAGCCAGCCCTGCTCATGTCTCTTTCTCAGCGGAGCCTCATCCACCTACATAGAAATCAAATTCACGTTAACATACAGGACTTTCTTCATTTTTCCTTCCTCAGTCAGCAGTGAGTATAGAGTGCCACCGTGACGCGTACCCTAAAACCCGGAAGTAAGCTGCGCATGGGTTCCTTCGACAAAAAAGCAATGCAATTTCTCAATAGGATTTTGGAAAATAGCTCGAAATAAGGTCTGTGGTTGACACACATTTAAGAGACGGATCATGTTTTGTTCAGTAAGATAATATCCACATGCTACCCTACTTTTATAATTTTCTAATCATAAATCTAATCGATAGATTTATGATCGATAGATGGCACTCTATTAAGAAGAAATGAAACTGAACCAGCTGACCTCTGCGATCACGCCAATGCAACCAGCAATGACGGCAGCTTTAGCCTGAGCTCCACTCATGCCCCCCAGGCCAGAGGTCACAAAGACGCGCCCGCTCATATCATCAGAGCCCAGGTACCTCCGGCCAGCATTTAGCACTGTCAGCTGCACAGAAAAACATCAGGAAACAGATAACAAATCAGGAACAACAACACTACTTCTAAAACACATTAAATGTTATGACTTCAAGCAGAGGTCTAAAATGACAAATAATTTGTGTGGAAGATGCTTTTATTTGTATTTGTTTCATTTTATTAAACTTATCCAATCTAACACCCTCTTCAGGAGTTTCTGGCCCTCAGGTTTTTTAACCACTTATCAAAAATGTACCTTTATTTTGCATATGGAAATACAGGAGCGTAAAATAAATCACAAACCATAGTGCCATGAACAATCCCTTGAGGTCCAATGTAGCAGTAGCTGCCTGCTGTCATCTGGCCATACCTGAAAATGAATAAACAAAATAAACACAAATAACATCAAGACATCTGTACCCACATCAGAGGTTTGATAAAGCATCATCCTCTTCCTGCAATGCAACAACTTACATAGATACACCGAGGGCAAACATCTTTTCATACTGATTTCTGGAGGAGTAGTTTGGAATAACCTGAGTGATGCAAAATAGGAAAAATTGATTTGAGTTATTTACAGCACAAAGGTGTGCTGAATGTTTGTGAAGTGTGTTGGGCAGCTACCATGCCGTTGGTGATGATGGCGCGAGGTGATGAAGGCAGGCTGGGGAACAGGCCCATGGGATGACCGCTGTACATCACCAGAGTTTGTTCCTCTGTCATCTCGCTCAGGTAGTGCATCACCAGGCAAAACTGAACCCAGGCACAGTGACGTTATTATTACGAACCTATTTACACTCTTTATTACCCAATCCACTGCCTGAACACAAATAACTCACCTGGGCCCAGTTACTGAACACCTGTCCATTCCCTCCGTAGGTGACAAGCTCCTGGGGAAACTGAAAGATAAAGAAGAGTTAACCACAGGCAAGATAAGCGGTTTGAAAAACGACTGGCCATGCTTAATTCCAAAGTTACTACGAGCTGTGCGAGAGGCTCACCTGAGCAACGGCTGGGTCCAGGTTGTTCATGATCATTAGCATGATGGAGGCAGCTTGGCGTGTGCGGCACGGGTACTGATCTATGGGGTAAGCTCTGAGGAGAAAGAGGGACACTCACATCACTGTGGTGGGGGGAACTAAGAGAAAATATCCTACTATCATGCTTAGTATAGTATTGAACTTTTGCTCAACAGAAGCCACTGTGGACACAGGATTAATTTACAGGATGACACATTGGTTTATGTTTATCTCTGGTGAGCTACAGTGTGTTTCACTATGTAGATTAACCATTGAAATGTTTATCTTAAATGTAAATGTAAGTAGGAATAACTTGCATAATGATTTAAAGGACAATCATTGATCAAGTAAGGGGTGGGAATTAATAAGCATGTGCTTCCTCCTGCTCCGTTTCGGACACATATGATTTATTATTATTATTGTATAAAGACTTCTTTGTTGAATATATAAATATTATCATGAATGTGGATAAATACTGTATTTTAACAATACGGTATTCTGTTTTTCACATTTGTTATTTTTTATTAGTTATTTTTTTAATCTGTTCGAAATAAAGATTGAAATGAAATCTAAAGTCCTGAGCTTGGTAGAAATCTAGATAACTGGCACTTTGGTGGTTATACATCAATGTCTTTCTCAAGTTAACTTACAATAGCCATCATTTGTATGCATCTAATGCAGCAGAGATTGTCATAGAAGTGACAGATATATCAGCAGTGAAAGTGTCGGCCCCTATGGCAGAAACATCAGTACAAGTGTCTTAGTTTTGTTCCGCTGTGATCTCTGAAGGTTTACAGTTAATCTGGAAAATACTCTGCTTTATGATTATAATTTGAAGGGCTTTAGTCAACAAACGAATGTAAAATGCATTAAAAGGAATACCAACCAATACAAAAGACATTATTACATCTCAAATATCAATTATGGAATTTGGTTTCCTCACCTCATGTGTAATGTGGGGCAGAAGCGGTACATGTAGATGTGCCCGTACTGCCGCAGCTCTTGAGCAAATTCAGGTGCAAGTGTTGCATGGTGGCAAGGAGGGAAGTAACGCAAGGCATTTCTCAGCGCCAACTGGAGGAACATGGAACATTTGCAATGGGTTAATGAACAAATACTGTATTTATAGATTGATGGAAGAGTAGTTGTTTTACTTTTTTAGGGTAACGGGCAGGAGCTCTCTTTTAATCATTGACTGAACCTTTGCTCTGAGATTGGGCAATCCTTTGAGGACCCGAGAGAATAATCCATTTTTTTGGGACGGCTCACGAGACAACAATGGTGATGCAACAAGTCAGAGTACACAGCATGGTATTATGTGAATTGTGTCCTCACATTCAACACATTTAAAGTCAAACCATTGTCTGACACGACAGTGAGCATTTACCTCCTTTAGCTTATTATTACATCTCTCATTGTTACGTGATCGTGTCTAATAGCAGTCCACTTCTTCCATTTGATAATCGTTTGACAGCAGCCAAGCAGGCCCATGTACGGTGCTTTCCATTATAAATATATCTTAATTTGAGAGTTTTATTCACAGAAAGTATTTTTACTCAGTGTAAAAGCACAGGAATACCTTCATTTCATTCAGCTGTGCATGTAAAATCCTTCGTAAACAAATCATATTATAATTGTATTTGAGAGGGCTACATGTCTCTGGAATACTTATTTCTAAATGATTGAGAGACGAATTGACTCACCCGCTCCTCCTCTGCTGTAAGGTTGGGGGTCCGGATGGGTGCGTGCGGCACATTGGGGTCTCTTCCCCGGTTGGGTGGCAGTGGGTCCAGGGGTAAACCGCTGCATATCTCCTTTAAAGAAGACATCCTGGAGAGGATTTTCTGTCACACACGCGAGCAGACGACGATGAAGGCAGCTCTCACCCTCTCTGCAAGCCGTCCTCTGTGGAGAGAACAACTTTGAGGGCGATGACCTTCCCCTCATTGTCTCATTGGCTTTTTGGTCGTCTTTCCCCTCCGCAATCCACCAATGGTACGCCGGTTTTTGGTAATTATTGATCATGATGGGAGTTTTTAGCAGGACATGCTTCAGTGGACAAACACTGCAAGTGACCTCTGAAGCTTTACCTAATCATATCACATGGAAGAATACATTTACAGCTACATTTGATACTTTTGACGAGGTCCAGTTTTTGCAGACTAATTATGTGATTGTGAAGACAATGTGTATTGAATTCTAATTCTGTATCCTCCCAAAAAGTATAACCTACTCTTGTAAAGGTTGAATAACTCTGTGAATTACTATTAAAGATTTGAATCAGAATAGGAAAGGTAAGAAATCCAATCACAGGGGTTGTCTTTAGTTATTGTTCAATTGATGTGAATTGTGTCATTTGGTTGAATTCATTGAATCCAGATCCATTCAAAGGAAGTAATGTTATTGGAGCAAAGAGTTTTTTCCCAAAGTTGCCCTCTGCTATAGAAACTCAGTTCACACACTTGCAATATGGTGAGTCAGCACAGTACAAAGATATTATTGCAATGTCATGCATGGGAGATGTAAGAAGTAAACCACAAAAATAACAAATATTATAAAGGATCATTTATGATATAAAAAGTCACACTAGTCAGACCTGTGTTTGACATGAATGGTTCACTTTAGTTCAGCTGAGGTAAAGTTGTATAACTGGACATACACCACAGATAGCAATCAAGACTGCTCAGTCGAAATAGTGAGCTTGTCTTCAGTAGCAACTTCATCCGTATAATCACTGTTATAAACTTTGAGTCAAACATATGAAATGGAACAAAAAGGAAGTAAACTTTGTATAACACGTGTACATACATCATAGGAATCTCTGCAACTAAGAATTACTCCTTAATTTCTCGATGAAACGTTTGGTCTGTAAAATGTCAGATGGGAAAAATGTCGATCGTATTTGTCAAAGTTGAAAGTTATGTTTTTCAAATGTCTTGTCTTTTCGGTCCATAACCTTAAAATATGCAGTTACATTTTATACACACTAAAGAAAAGCAGGAATTCTCCATTTTTGAAAGGCGGAAAGCTTTTTCTACCATCTTTGCATTTAAAATGACTTTAACAACTGATCGATTATTAATTAGTGGAGTTTCTCTGAATTAACTTCGTGCTGCAGCTCCAAGAGACAAAGAAAAGGACATAATACACAGAGTGTGTAGTCCTAAATAAACGTGGTACTCTAGGTTCTTCATTGAATTAAGTATTTGTTTTATCTTGCATTGCCAAAGGCAGGATTTCCCATCCTTAATTTAAACACTCAAGATAGTTGTTGCATTGATAACATAGTTTCACACAAGTACACTGTAAGCCCATCTTATTCATAAATACATTGTTTAGTTCAACTGGAAATAAAGGTCATGATAGTTTTTCACATATTTACTATATAACCCGGATGTCCTCTGTTCCTCTGTAAGTAAAAGTCCAAAACCAAAAGGAAGAGCTTATATAAATTCTAAATATAACATAATTTAATGTAGTTTACGTGTTTGGTTTCACAATAGCAGACCCTATACGTTTTGTAATATTTAACCTTTCCATCATTGGATGAAGACCTTTTTTAAATAGAGATATTTAAATCGCATCATGTTGAACCATGTTTTCATAAAGCAGTAGCCATTGAATAACAACCCACATCATCTTCCCTGCTAAAGTCTTCTTCTTATCTAACCTGCCAACATGAAAGAAAATGTTTCCTGTACCATAGCTTGTTGAACTAGTGACTAAACAAACATTCAACAGGGAAACGTGCAATGCTATCGTGAGTTTCCATGTGAAATAGAGAAAGTAGCTCATCAGCTGCAACAACTTAATGTTAACTCACGTACAGGCATCACTTCGCTCAGTTTAGATTCTTGTGTTGATTTACTTTTCAATCCCAACAACGCACTTTCTCCAAATGACTTGTAAATGTCAGAACAGGCTTGTTAACTATTTGACTCGTTCCCCTGCAGGCCACTCAGCCTGCAGTCTGCTTTTAAAGAAATAATAATAATGAGCATTTTGGATACACCCTCAAAAGGTTTTTGCTTCATTTAAAAAAGAATTTCAACAGTAAATGTTAAAAAAACACTATGATGTTATTTATGAATGTAACAAGCAATGACTTAATGTGATTTCAGTCCGATTCTTAAGTCTTGGCTTTACATTGTAACCAGGGCTCATCACTAGCTTTCCCCTGAGCCCTCTGTGTTGGGTGGCATACTATCAGAGTCCGGCTCGGTGGCAGATGTTGAGTCGGCACCTGGGGTTTCTGCAGATGTTGAGTCGGCACCTGGGGTCTCTGCAGATGTTGAGTCGGCACCTGGGGTCTCTGTAGATGTTGAGTCGGCACCTGGGGTTTCTGCAGATGTTGAGTCGGCACCTGGGGTCTCTGCAGATGTTGAGTCGGCACCTGGGGTCTCTGCAGATGTTGAGTCGGCACCTGGGGTCTCTGTAGATGTTGAGTCGGCACCTGGGGTCTCTGTAGATGTTGAGTCGGCACCTGGGGTTTCTGCAGATGCAGAGTCTTGTGAGGTCGGCTCTGTTTCTGATGATTGTTCTTTTTGCACCTTGTCATCTTCTTGTGGATAGAGCTCGGGGTAACGCTGTATACACTCCTGCATGGCCCTGAAGTGCTCCAGGCACTCAGATCCCTTCACCTCCTCCTTACTGTAGTGGAAACAGGAGAAGGCGTCTTTAAATTCAGTCCCACAGGGTCCGCTGGCCATCCCACCCAGACAGGGGCAGTTCCAGTTGATCTCCCCACTGGGAAGAATCAGCCCTAGGATGAGAAAAGAGGTTAATGCACAGGTAATCAATGTATATTTTATCCCCACACCTGGGGCCGTATTCACAATGGATCTTAGGGCTAAAAGTAGCTCCTAACTGGCGAATTTAGGAGAAACTCCTAAACATAATGGGCGTGTCAGTCTTAAATTTAGGACTCCTAATTTTATTCACTAAGAGCAATTCACAAAGTATTTTAGGCCTAAAAGTAGCACCTAAGTCTGGGAGAGCTTAAAAGTCCTCGAGAGGACTCCTAACTCAGTAAGACCTATTCACAAAGAATCTGAAAATGGCTGAGAGACGAAATGTTTTGGAGACAATGGAAGACTGCGAATTGATCAAGAGATATAGGCTAAATCGTGAGGGTATCAAACTTGTTGTGGAATTAGTGCGGGATGCAATAACTAACAGGAATAACCCGATTAGTCCGGAAATAGAATGTTTGGCAACACTACGATATTTAGCAACAGGGAAAATGCAACTTTGCAATGCCGACGATTTAGGAATATCGCAACCATCAGTCAGCTGTGCCATAAACCAAACCATCAACGCGCTCTCTAGACCACATATCATCCAACAGTTTATCCGGTTTCCTTTGGACAATCAACAACTACACAGGATCAAAGCCAACTTCATGGCAATGCAGGTATGCCCGGTGCGGTCGGTGCTATTGACGGGACGCACATAAAAATAATTGCGCCATCAAAAGATGAGGACGTGTTCGTCAATAGAAAGAAAGTACATTCCATCAACACGCAGATTGTTTTCATTCATCATGATAGGGGGACTTGAACGGCGGTATGGGCTGTTATTGAAAGTGTTTAAGTGCTGGAAATATGCTCATTGGATAATAGTTTGCAGGGTGCTTTTAATTGCCTCCTTGATTTAATGCAATTTACGTATTTTTATTGTTTGCTCTCTCTCTTTAACGTGCATATACAACGTCATTATCGTGGTCTGCACAAACTTGTCATCATGCGTGTATTCTGCTAACTGCACTGTCCATAACTATTTGATAGGAATACATTTCTAGCCTAGGCTATTTCCTTGTTTTTGGGCTCGTTTGTGGGATGTTGCGGATGAGTTTCACCGAGACCGCCTGCTCTGAACAACCAATCACCGTACTGACCGCTTCTAAACTCATGCACGAGAATCGACGTCATCCATAGCAACGGCGCGTCACTCTTAGTTCACTCTTAGTGATTTATCCTTAGTATGAGTAGGTCTCAGCGGCTTTGTGAATAACTTTTAAGAAAAAACTCCTACGTAAAATGTTTTAGCGCGAGTTAGGAGCACTCCTAGCGGTAAGATAAAATGCTTTGTGAATACGGCCCCTGAGCTTTAGTAAAGAGTGGCAATTTCACTGCTCCTCACCTCGCTCCTCATAAGGGTCATCAGGGTCTTCCTCTACCAGCTCAGCACTGCTGGGTGTCGCATGATCTTCTTTGGTGACAAAGATAATTCGGTCCTTACCTGTGGTGTTAAATTAGGAAGGACAACAAAAACAAATGCATTGATAAGTACTGTGGCATCTAATCAAAACTAAAGGCAGGCTATAGGACATTTAAAGGCTCTTCATCATTTATATTCTGAGACTAACAAAGTAAACACGGTTTAAACGGTAAAAAAGCTTCAGCAGTTGCAGTCACAATTTTAACTTCAGGTTTACAAGAGCCTATCAGTGAAATCATCCATACATCTTTTATTTATTTGATATAGGTATAAGATTTTGACATGCATGCCGGCTGATCATTTCAAAATGGTTAAAATGGTTTGGACATTGACATTACATAGTTGTCCATTTTACCGAGTTATTTTCCGCTAACACCAGAACCATGTTGGTACATGATGAAAACAAAACAAGAACAATCATTAAGTGACCGCACTCAAGGTGACTTTCTATTAAAATATGGCACTATAAGAACACTCACAATCCTGTACACTCAGATTTGTTAACAGGTAAAGATGTAACAGTCCTGAATCTCATCGTGCCAACAGGATTTTTTTACAAATGTAAGAAAAAAAGAACATTAATTTTCATTCAAACTCAAATCAACTTCAGGGTTAGCTTCCCAGTGGAGTTAGTCGGCTAGCACAGCATGTTACCTTCATCTCTGACCGAGCTCATGTCTGCACACCGGGTTGGTTTGAATTCTTCTTTTTGATTGACAGCAACAACTCAGAGGACGACAACTGATACTGAGACACGACACAACCGGACACAACACATGCAGAGGGGAAGGATTTAGTGCAGCATCAGCTAGCTTCTTGCTTGTTTCACAACTACCCTTGCCTGAGCGTGGATGAGTCTTCTTCTCCGTTTCTATTTCCGGTAGAGCAGAGGCTGTTGAGCGCATTGCCGCCACCACCAGGTCAAAGCAACACATACACACAGATGTATTTATATATACACAAAATAATGCGTTTAAGAACATTAGACATGTTGTTTTAATATGCACGATTAGTTATTTACATCTTATTTATCGGTCAAAATACATTACATTTCTGACAAGACTTCATTCAGGTAAAAGCGTAATATCCAGAGGAGATTCACCTTCTATGCTATTTGTCACCATTTTTTGTAATGTAAACTAGGCACCTACACTTTAAATAAATGCACTTATAACTATCACCCTGGAAACAACTTTTCCAATCCTATTATTAAGTACATTTTTATTTTAGGGGTGGGATATTGGAGTTCAAGTAATAGCCATTAATATTAAAATATCTACTCGTACTTTAACAAAAAATATAATCCAATCAATCAGTCAATCATATAGAAGTTGGATATTCATTCCCCTTTACATAGTTATGTACTGTATGTAAATCACAATATATGGATCAAAATGTTCACTACAGTCGCATTTATAGTATCATTGAGGTTACTTTTCGTATTAAAGAAACCATGTGCTAATGAACATTTTGGTGGAACAAAAAGAAGAGACAAGAGACTTGACCTTTCTCCACAAAAAGGTTTTATTGAGAATGTTTTTCTATAAGGTTTGTTCTGAAATGCATTATCTTTTTTTTTTACATATTCAAAAGACTTTATCTTACATTTAAGACAAATTCAAAATCATTCAATGCGTGGCCTATATACAGAAAGTCATGGTATTTCTCAGGTGTGGAAAAGCGATTGATGCAAGTGTGCTGAAAGCAGACAATTAAAAAACAAAACAAAATTGCAAAAGTGGGAGCCAAAAATGAATATGACATGTGAGTTAATACTGCAGCTCCCTGGGAATGCCATACATTAAAACAGCGACAGGCGGACCCCAATGTGAGCTCCACATCCTCCTCTTACAAGACCCTGTTCCAATAAAAGCTATAACACAGGGTCACTGATCAGGAAAACGACAGTACTTGACTCAGCGCTTGACAGTTCAGCTTCTGTTCCACACCTTCACATAATTGGCAGGTTGAGGGAAAAATAAAATAAAGCTGAAAGTAAAAGTATTAACTAAGATAACACCAAACAGAACATCAGGTGCATTTTTCAGAACACAGCAGCCAGTTGCCCTCCATCATCCGGTCGAGTATGCCGGCATACTGAAGCGTTCTGTTGTCAGTCGGAAAAAAAGGACCAAACTCCCGCAGGACTTCATCTCTTACACAAAGGAAGCCTTTAAAATGAATCTCGGGGAGGTATAATGTAGAGTCAGTTAGAAAATCGGATGAAATACAGCTAAAATGTCGGTCTTTGTGTTACTTTGGAAGATACCAGGTAGGGGCAACAAGCTGTGTAGCTCCCCCCACCTCCCAAGGTCCCATTTCAGCTGAGATTCCTGAAGATTCCTCGAACATCCTGAAAGTGGAGAGCTGACGATGCAGGAGCTTCACATAGATGTAAACAAAATGCAAAGTTGGTGATCCTAATAAACGTTGGTAGAAGGTGGGATGAGATTGGCTTTTTCTAGAACAGCAGAGCCCCCATGCTGCCTACTTCGCTCTGTTCTTTCACAAAGATCTCAAAGTACTGATAGATGATGGTGACGGCCAGCAGGATACCCGTGCCAGAGCCAATGGCTCCGAGGAAGTCGGCCATTACTGATAGACCTCCGATACACAGTCCACCAAAGGCAGCTGCTGTAGGAATGTACCTAGAAAACAAAAACAGGAGTATTTAGATCAATAATGAGAATTTCACATGACTGTTTCTGCAGAAAGCCTTAAAAGCAGTTTTTATTAAATACTTTCCTCATGATCGTTTAAAAAAGGGATGAATGGAATACAACGAATACACATTGCTTTCTTTCCACTGGTCACAAGGCTTTAGATAAATATACAAGAACAGTCTTTATCTTTGCTGAGCATTAAGAGCCCCAAGGAGTCAGCTAGTAGAATCAATGTTTTGGCAATATTTCTAAATTGTTGAACTATTCCTTTAAGCATTGCATATTTCCAATGCATGACTAATTAGGAAGACAACTGAAGAAAACTTTATTTCATTACTACCGTCTATTCTTTACCTCATGAACTAAAAGCAAACTAAAATATATATATATATTTTGTAAGTTCTTAGTTTTAAGGTGTGAGGTTCATGTGAAAAAATACATTTGGAAACAGGAGGACTAATATCCCCTTTGATTAAAATCAATAGTAATAATAAATTATTCATCTTTTTATTGTAATACCTTTGGATTTATTTCTGCATTACCTTCCTATCTTACATGTCCTTGTCTTTTATGACACATATTTTTGGCACCACTTGAGTCTAAGACTGTCCGAAGTACAGTACATATAAAACCTAAAAATATTGACGTGACATCGTGACAACGTGTTGCTTGATTACAAGATGAGGGTTATTTGCTCGTCAGAGGCAGAAAGATGAAATCATGTAAATGTATGAATAAAGCTTATTGCCATTATAACTGAGAAACGTGTAAATGTATGGATTGTGGTTTTCATTGTACCTGTTCAGCTCGTGGACCATTGAGGTTTCTCTGTGTCCCCTCATCACCATCTGCTGCTCCTTCAGCTGCTTCGCCACCTGGATTCAAGTAAAGAAAAGAGCTTTAAAACAAAGTGTGTTTGATATAAATACCCGAGACCACCTGACTGAAAGTGTTTACAACTTACATCTTTAGCGGAGGAGCCAGAGACTTCAATCCAGGTCTTGGAGAAAAAGGCACATGATCCGAGCATGAAGACGATGTAGATGCCAGCGTGGACCGGGTCATCGAGAACATTACCAAACGACTCCGGCGGAGAGAGGTAGTAACAGAGTCCGGCTACAGGGTAGGCCCGGGCTGGACCACCTGACGTAGCATCCTACAAACATCAGAAAAATAATACACACTTTAAAAATGGGCAGACAGAAACCACAAAACAAACCATAAAAATAACATTCAGAACATTAGTTTACCAGCAAACGGCTATTTTCTAAGTATATCATGGAGTAATGTCCCCCTGAGCAGAGGAGGCACCATGCCTAATCACATTTGAGTCCTTTTGAGAGACTTCATTCTTGAAATAAAGTTGAACAAACTGAAAGGAAGGTGTGATTAAATGGTATACTTACAGACCAGGTACCGAGCAGATTGACCAGGAAGTTGCCACTGAAGCGTGTGGAAAGCATCTGGGAGATGACATACAGGTTGGAGACGAGGGCGGACTGCAGGATGATGGGGATGTTGGAGGTGTAGAACAGCTTGATGGGGTAGGTGTTGTACTGGCCACGGTAGCGAGCAGACTTGATGGGCAGATCCACTCTGAATCCCTGTGAGAAGAGGAGAATGTGAGCAATTCAGCCGTTTACCCTCCAGAACTTCATCATCTAGTCTATATGCAATTATTTATGTTCAGGTTCCATGTGGAAGAAGGTTCAGACACTAACTTGAAAGTATATGACTACAGCGAAGACAAACACGGTGGCGATGAGGTTCAAGAGATTGGGCAGGTTCTGCCTGTAGAAGCCTTCTCTCAGAGCTCGCACTTTGTCTGTGCGAGTGGCCAGCAGATGGAACAGGGCAATGATTGCTCCCTCAAACTCCGTACCTAGAAAGAGAAAACATTCACCAGTATGAGGCACAGTTCTGAGGAGTGCAGAAGATTTTTGCAGATATTTAAAAATCTTTTTATTTCTTACCTCTTCCAGTGTTCACCGTTGTGGGGCTGAAGGCCTTCCACACGATTGTCTCACAGATGTTTGTGGCAATAAACAACGAGATTCCTGAACCGAGACCGTAGCCCTTTTGGAGCAACTCGTCCAGCAGCAGCACGATGAGCCCAGCTACAAACAGCTGAGAACAAAACAGATAGTCAGCTGAAAGAGCACCGAGGAAGTCATGTGAAAATGTTTTCACTTTGCAATACATTCACATAGCCTTGGAGGGGCTTAGCTGTAGACTGGGTTCGCTTTACTGAAGTTATAAAGTGAGTTTTAAAAAAAGTAGCACTTCCGGCTCCACTGGAGCACATTATGCTTTGTGAGTACACTTTATTGAATTAAACACACCTGTTAGTCACGTATTGTTCATTAGAAACCATGACTATATGAATTGTATTATTTGACATAATTATTCGTTCCTGCACGATACTCTGAAAGGACCTTGATGCACCTCTTGCACTAAGATGGCAGTTTAAAACCCTTTAATTGATGGAAGGTAATATGTTTGATAATGAATGCTTTAAATGCCATCCTCACTGTCGGAGATTTTTCTTTGATAATATAAAAATAGAAAGGACACCGGGTTCAAGTCACAATCTGCTGTGTTCTATTTCATTCATGTTTTATAGTTAGTGCATTCTGAAAGGAGGTTTTGATGACAGAATATAGATTTTAGTCTAAGTAACATTATTGGTTATGACACATTTGAGAAAAGTCCTGTTCTTACCTGAATGATGATGAGCAGACAGATTCCTGCGCCCATCTCAGAGGGATCTCCGTACATGCCGGTCATCACATACACGATGGCCTGTCCGATGGTGATGATCATTCCAAACACTAAAGAACAATAGGCGGGGGTTAGACACTCTATAGACGTGCATATAAATGCCAACCATACGTTTATAAATTACCACCCGAGGAGAGTTTACTTACATTTCTGAGCTCCATTGAAGAGCGCTCTGTCCTTTGGTGTGTCTCCGACTTCAATGATCTTAGCTCCAGCCAGCAGCTGCATGATGAGGCCGGAGGTGACGATAGGCGAGATACCGAGCTCCATCAGGGTACCTGGAGAGAGAAATTCAAGTTAGTATAAACCAGTGAGAGAGCAGGCACACACTTATTAGAAATTTCCCAATCAATCGGCCACCAGTCTATCAGTCGCATTTCTATGGTGAAACTTATTGCCGGTTCATTTACAGCAGCATAATGGTTTTAAATCACACACAGCTTTGTAATAAATGTAAG